CCACACTCCATTCAGTATTAGAAAACTATACATGTCCATGTTATTGAAAGTGACAATCGAATATATGCGTCGGAAAAGGAATAAATGCATAAATGAATCTGCTTATACTTAGGACATACCAAAAGTTCGTAGAGTGATACCTTAATATCTTATGATAAGCTTTAAGTAACTTTCTTTCTATATACTCTAATAGCGAAAAACGAATGCTCTATCTTTCTATGCTATTTGATCATACTTTAACTAATATGATGATAATAAATTTTCGATAAGACTTTTTTCATTAGTATTTGTGCTCGTTGTAAGTTTTTCGTTGCAATTTTCAATTCCTTATCAGTTGTATTAATAACCAAAATATACTATAAGATGCAGCGTGAAAAGCTCTACAATCTACACAGTAAAGCTTATTGTAATTTTTTTCAGAAAAAAGAAAATTCCATGCGACCAATTTTCTCAATGTCCAAAATTTGATCCCTGAAAACTTTATCGATTTTGAAAACAAAAAGTGCAGCTATAAAATAAGCGACCGTATATAAATTGTAGAGTTTATCACGCTTCATCTTATAGTATATTTTGGTTGTTCATACAATGTATTAAGGGATTGAAAACTAGTCTGTTCTCACACATTGTGATCTAGTACAACCAGCCGAAATAGGTTTTATAGATAATTTAATATTATTATATTAGTTGAAGTATGATCAAATAGCATAGAACGGTAGAGCATTTTTTTTCTCTATCAGACTATATAGAAAGAAAGTTACTTAAAGCTTATCATAATGTATTAAGGTATCACTCTACGAACTTTTGGTATGCCTTAAGTATAAATTTCTATTAATATAAATTGTTATACTACTATATTGAAGTGAATGTTGACAATTGAAAGCAGTATTGATTAACGATCTTCCCATAAAAAAAATCAGCCGAACAACACAGGAAAATGAAAGTTCAGTTTAATTCTGATCGATAGTTACAAATTTAAAAAAGTTTTACTTTTTTTCGGTCAATGTTTTCCAGTAGACTAGTAAAATCAGTAGAATTTTATCGACTAAATATTGCAATTGTTCTATAATCATAAAATTTAATATATTTTATAATAATTATTCTAGAATCATCATCAATAAATTCAACACAACCATCATCATCTCCATCGAATACACCAACTACTCCACCTACATTCAGTGGTATGTGGGTAGTAGGTCTTCAATTTAAAAATGTTAATAAAGTTCAACTTGATTTAACCGAAGAAATTCGTTCATTTTTAAATGTTGTTTATAAATCTTCAGCTAACAGTAATATGAATCGAGAAAATCTTAATCTTGATGCACGGTAAATAAATTAAAAAACTTTTCTTTTTATCACATATTTTCTTTTTTTTCTTTATTTTAAATTAAATAGTTATATTCGTCGTCGTGATTTACATACTGTTCTACCAAAACAAACAGTATCAACAATAAATAATAGTCCCCGATTATCAAAAACAATGTCCATTGATGATAAAATTGATACAAATATAAATTTACAAATGAAACGACCAATATTAAATTCAACATCATCTGATTCAGGTATTGTTGCTGATTCAGATAATGATACAAAAATCAAACGACAAAAACTTGAAGAAACTAATGAATCATCTCCAAAAACATTAGAATCAAATCCTGATTGAATTGAATTGAATTGCAAGAACTCTTTGAAATAATACTCTGATTGAGTATTGTACTATTTCATTTCTGTTCTTGGATGTATTCTTTTTGTTTGTTTATCTTTTCTATCTTGCTTCTTATTTTCTATTCCATTTTTTTTTCTTATTTGTTTTCTTTCCATTAAGTAACAAAAAAGAAAAAGAAGCAAAACCAAAAAAAAAAAAAAGATTTCTTTCTTTTTGTTTATCTCTTGTGTCCTGTCTATTGAAATTGTTCGCTTTTTTTTGCGTCGTCTATCTCTGTATTTTCTTTTTGCTTGGTTCATCTGCTGTATATAGACATGCTTGGAGTACATACAACATAAAATGAGCCCAAAAAAATTATAAAATTCTTAAGTTTAACAAAAAAAATAATAAAACAGATGCAGATATATATGAAATTAGTTCTTTTTTTTGATTTATTTCTTATCAAAGAATATTTATTGATTTATTGAAGACTTTCCCATATCTCCAAAATTGATTGTCGATACAGTGCACGAGATCTCTTCTTGAAACTTTCCACAAATGTCGGGGCCATAAAAGTAAACTTACGAAATTTGTTTTGATTCTCTAAATCTTAGTGTTCAGAAGTTTTCTAGAAATCAAGATCAAAAATGGACTCTTAGCTCATGCAAATATTTTTTCGTTATACTTCAAGATGTAGAACTGAAGAGTGTTTTACTGTTGCTCTCTTTAATTTTTGGGGACGTTGAAATTTCTCAAATCTTGAAAAACCATTAGAAATTTTCTGCAAAACTGCAGTCTATTTAAAAATTCCCTTTAACTCATCCGAAGGAGCATCAAGTACTTCTCAAGCTGAAAATATAAATATTATATACCAATGACAAATACTCATCTCAGTGTATTGAGCATTGTTTATATAAATAATGATAGATAGCACCAGTTATCATCCTGGTCATGACGTGTATTCTAATGTTTGCTTCAATCAGCTCCAGATTTTTTAAAAAAATCTTCGAGATTCAATAATATATTTGTAAAGTGGATATTTCAGGAGACATGCTCGCATAGGTATCTCAAAAGTAAATTTTTTGGACGAAAATCGACTTTTTTATAAAAGTATTTGGGTTTAAATTTTTAATTTGAATGTTTTTATTATAAAAGTTAATTTCAAACACTGAGTTACTAATCTATTTTTGAATTTACACCTCTGCAGAATTTTCCCTCAACATTGATTTACATTTATATAATATCACTCTAAAAATATAAATATCATTGAAAACATAAACAATCTATTTCAACACTTAGAAAATCTCTAAAAAAAAGCGATGATTTATATTACAATCAAATTCCTATCTGCTGCTCGATAAACTGGTATAATGCAAAAAAAAAGTAAAGAAGAAGTAAATATACATATCACAGCAATGGAATTAATGGAACAAAATAAAGCTTTGTTCTTTCTTCAAAAAAATTTTGTTTTCGAGTTTTCAAAGCAAAAAAGGTCGGAAATGCTTTTATGCTAGTTCAAAGTACCCTCGAAAAAAAATTTTTCATTATAAATGTTCTCTTCTACTCTTTGATGATCTAACTCAAACTGAAGTATAGAAATGATCCAATTAGCAGAAGGACTTTAATGTAATCTATTTTAACAATCTCTCATTATTGTACGCTTTGATATTTTTTCTTTTGAAATGTTTCCATTCATTTGATAGACTAATGTACTACAGTATGCAATTTCTATCAATACAGATCAAGAATGTCCTACATGTATGTATCAATTTTGATTTAACAAAAAAATATCTGATTGTTTCCCATGTTTTAATTATTTTTTTACAATTTACACAATTAATTTACTGTAATAAGGCAATCTATTATATTGACTTGCTATACTACAGTCTATAGACTTCTCATAATCAACTTTTGTATAATAACTATGGACAAAGCCATTAAGATTTTGACTTAGAGTGACGAAGATTTCATAAGTTTTTCGACTGTCTTGAATTTTATTCTGTACTCATGGTTTAGCAGATTAATTATTCAAAAATCCAACCAATGTTTTGCACCTGCACTATCGACTATTTGAATTTGATATCTAGTCTTCAATGTGGGAATCATACTATTGAATAGATTTTTCATTCAAATACTTAGACTATTGATTAACTACAGAACTAGACTAAGATAGTGTGATCGGTCGAACATGTTTATGAACTCACCAATAGGCAACGGTTGAACATGAAGCCAGTTTTATCACACTTCACTAAAGTGTCTATATCATTTTCTGCGCTGGAAGCACTTCTTATCCATTTCTTTCTATGATAATCGGTCACTTGATGATGTGTGCTACGCCTACTGGAATAAATATTGTAAAACTTTGGCGAAATTACTCGATGGTTGTCTCAAGCTGGTAAGGAGGGGCGGGCGGAAAGGTCTAAGAGTGGGGGGGGGGGTATAGCGAGTTTTGATAGGGTGTAAAAAATTTTGGGGGGGTGTAAAAGGGTATTTAGAGCAAAATTTCTTAAAAAAACACAAAATTTGTTCCAAATCTGCTCCCGTCGCTCAAAAAAAAACAAAAATTTTCAATTATTGGGGGGGTGTACACTCCCCCACACCCCCCCGCTCGCGCGGCTCCTGCTGGTAAGAATATGCAGTGTTAGTGTAAATACTGATTATATTGACATCCGCATTCGTTGCAATGTTGAAACACCAACTCTATTAAAATATGCCCTTTTTCTAGTGGTGGGTTTCAATACTTCAGTGAAAACTGGTGCAGCTAGCACGTCAGTATGCACTAACTGCACTGAGTTGGAAGTCAATAAATTGAAATTGGACATCTTTACCTACTAGAGTACATGTCGTTGAACATCCACAAATATTTATGGCAGAAAGTTAGAACATGATTTCATTGTCTACACAGATCAAAACGATTTGCTCCATATACAGACGTGTTTGCTATAGCTGGAACATGAATGTCGTCTCACGGTATGACAGATTCAGTTGTAATACTCGATGAAAGGGATTTTCGATGTTTTACAAAGTTCCCAGAAATCTTCTAATCTATTCTTCTTCTGTTAAACTGTGTAAAAAAAGGCTTTATAAGAACAAAAAAAAACAATTAAGATTGTTTTCGAAGGTCCTATCCATATCTTTAAGTTTAGATCACTACTCTCTATTTAAATAATTCATCTAAAGATACTACATTACTTTTTTTTTTTCGTTTATTCTTTTCTTTTCATTTAAATATCAAATGCAACAATACATCGAAAAGCATAGGAATACACACCACCGGTAAGCATGTCAATAAAAACAAAAACATCTGAAACATATTTCATAAAAATAAATTCTTCGTTGCTTTTTAAAAAATCGATAATTAATGTTGTTCAAATTGATTTGCAACACCAATGAAAAATATTTCAAAATTTTCTAATAATTCTCGAGTAAGACCTGCATTACTAACAATATGTTCAACAGTACTTTGTTGTTGTTTATCTCGATAATTTGCTTGTTCAGATATAAGAAATAAACGTATTTTATCATTATCTATAGTTAATTGTTTTAATTCACTTGTATCACCTAATGGACGATGTGTAAGAAAATGTATTATACAATAAACTAATAAACGATCATCATGATGAATAGTAAATCGACGAATATAAGCAAACATTTTTGCAAGTAATTCAATTGTACCACGTTGAAACTATAAAATGAATAAAAATTTCAAAAGAACATCTTCAAGAAAAAAGAAGAATTTTTTTTTTGTTTACTTTAAGTAATTTTGATAAAATTATTGATGGTTGTTCAACATCAGTTTTAGTAAATAAATGAAAATCTTCATTTGTAATAATTGGATACTAAAATAAATGAATATTTTTCTTTTAATGAATAAAAATTTATTTTATTACTTTTAATAATCTTAACCATGTCCATAAAAGTCCACTGATTATACATGGATCGGTTTCTTCAAAAACTTCATCAATACCATTATTTGTTTTATTTATTTTTTGTTTCAATGAAAAAATTTTCGTTTGTTGTTCTGATGTAAGAAAATCTTCCCGAATTGACATAATCATACAATTAATTATTTGTTTATATGGACTAAAATCATTATGTGATAGACGTTCATGTTCATAGAAAAATGATGGTGCAAAATCCAACCACGTCGCTTTTTCTTCTTCAGTTAAGTTTTGAAGATTTTTACGAACAAATACTGGTTTATCTTTTGCTCGACGATTAAGAGTAACTAATATTGTATCAATCATATAACCTGTACATAATTCGATTAAACGAGCAGCACATACAAATATTACCTAAATAAAATAATATATATATATATATATTAAAGAATAGAAATTGTTGATTTTGCAATAAAAAGAATGACACAAAAATGCAATTGAAATTTAAATGAAATGCATTTTTTTCTTGACGGAGTCGAATTGATGTTATCAGTTATTACGATATGTTAGAACTGAATATAACTATTTAGATTCTATTGGATTTTGAAAATAATGTGACTTTAAATAGTGCTGGAAGTAAATGAAATCTGGCATTTTCTCCTTGATTGTAAATCGATTGCTAGAGTATAACATCTAGCATAAACTGTTTCTTATTTTTATACATCTTATAAAAAATTCATATGAACCATTCGCACTATATGCCTTTTATCAAAAGACTTAGATTTTGAGGAAGCTACAAATATAAGCTCCTTGATTTCATACATTATATATATCGACATTCTATGTTTGAATACAGCGTGTCAGTCTCTCATGTGATTCACGCTGAACAAAGCTGTCAGTAGAACCGTCGGTATATGATCAGTTCTTATGGGTACTTCAATAGTGTAGAAAAAACATACAACATAGGCTATCTTCACTTGGAATATGACTATTTTTTTGCAAGTCTCACAAAAAAATTGCATGTGATAATGAACACATTATTTTAGATATTATATTCATGGAACTCGACTATAGAGATAAATTCAACTGAAATCATCACACGACACTTGTGCATGTTTCATTTATATATATGTCAGTATCTAAGGTAAGATTACAGCTAATATCAGATCCAAAATTAGACATGTTTAATGTCAGTTCCGAGAAGTAGTTTTTGTTAAAATTTGAATTAGTCTCTAGATGGATATTGAATTCAAATTTTTGTTGGTAAACTGTATTGAAACAATGACATTTTAGTTATTACAATCCTCAACAAAGAAATTAAGTTCAGATTCAAATACTTATTGGCATTTTTACATAAAAACTGTTCATAATTTAACGAATTCTATTTTATTTACTCCATCGATGACTGTAATACCTGAAATGCTATTGTTTTCTCATAGTTCACCGATAAGAATTTGAATTCAATATTGATTTAGAGACTTTTAACGAAAATTTCTTGTCAAATCTGAGATCGATCGTAATCTTAGTTTGGACACTGACATATACAAAGAAACATAATTAATGAATTAATTGTTTTAAATATAACGAAAATAGTTCTGCCGATTGAAACATATACAAATTTCTTCTTCAATCGATTTGACTTAAAAATTAATCTTACTCTTGGAATATATCTATAAATATTTGCATCACGACCATGAATGAATGCTTGTTGATTTTGTAAATGTACATCCAGTGAAAGTTCATCATTTACATCCGCACTAAAACAGATCACTTATAAATAAATAAATAAATAAGTCATAAGAAAATACTAACCAATCAGTAAAAACACGTCGTTTTGGAATTAGAAATCGTTCATATTCTTCTACAGCTTAATAAAATCAAGCAAAACAAAAAAACTCAATATTTTCTAAAGAAATCATTAGATTATAATCGTATACCTTCAATTTGTTTTGTCATTTGTACACTACCTGGTCGTTTTGCACGAATATAATGAATTGATTCATGAGCAGACATACGATATTCATATACAAGATATGAACAAATAACAAAACCTGTACGACCAAGACCAGCGTGACAATGTACTGCAATCTACATGTAATTCTTTTGTTATTATTTTTTTTTAATGTTCGAAAACAAACAAACAAATAGATTTACTTTTCCTTGTTTCATAGAAAAACTCATGACTTTCATAATATCAAGTATTGTTTCGACTTTAACTGTTCCATAATCTTCCATAGCATAATTATAAACAAAAACTTTTTTTTTTCATAAATAAAAAAAAATTAAAATTAGATTAGTTAAATATAATTAAGTTACTTTTGAATCTTACTTCCTTCATCCATAAATTCACTTGGATTATAAGAAAAACCTGATGAATGATTTCCATGACCACAAAAAATATGTTCATCAGGTGATTCTAAATTAAATACAGCACGAATACCTGCTCTAAAAAAAATGAGCAAAACAACAAAAGAATTTTTTATTTTTAGTCAAAAAAGAATATTTACTCATAAAATAATTTCTTCAAATTAGAATGACGTGTAGTGGGACGAGAACATGCTAAGATATTATCAGTTATCCTAAATAAATTATTTTTCTTTTCGAATCAATATTTTTATTAATTAGAAATTCTTTACCAGTGCGAAAATATTCCATCAATAGCCATTTGTTCTGGACGCCAATAATCAGATCTTTCATATTTACAATTAGCACCTCGACAACCTAAATTTTAATCTTCCTATTCTTGTCGTCAATATCTAATGCACCTTGATATTTTTTGAATATCTCGAGAATGAAAGTAACTAGAAACCTGCGATTTCTATCATTTTAAAGAGAAATATGCGGAAAGTGAAACTTTTCAAAACTATGTATTGGTCAAGTTGCAGAGTTTTTGCTATAGATTTTGATCGGCAATTTTCGAAAAACCTTTCCAAAATAACAATGAGTTCCAATTTGGAAAATCAAAATCGAAAAAATTTCTCTGTCGAGATACACAAGGTTGATTCTACCAAGTTCTTCAGTTCAGAAGTTATAAGCGTTTTATTGGAAGTCTCGAAATCAGCTAACTAACCACTAGTCACTGAAAACAGTATTGAATCTGGTGCATTGATATAGCTGAGTCCAATAGTGATATTTGTTTTTAGTGTCAATATGATCGTAAGTAGTTAGATCATGATTTTTGTGATTCAGTCTATACAAGGCTTTTAATGTTAGATGGGATATTTTCAAGATCTTGTCTTTCCAACAAGAGATTGTTTCAAAACTAAAAGTAAATATGACCAGTGGACTCAACATAGACGAATATATCAAATTCACTACAATTTAGAATGATCAGTAGTCAATTGATCGATTTCAAGACTTTCAATAAAACGCTTATAACTTCTGATTGAAATAAGCTTGATGGATTGATCTTGCGTAGATCGACCGAGAAATGTCTTAGCTATCGATTCTCTGTATTGGAACTCATTGTTGGTTTAAAAAGGTTGTTCGAAAACATCTGATCAAAATCTACAGCAAAACTTCACCAATTTGACCAACACGTAGTCCAGATAATGCAGTAAAGTTTCACTTGCCCCACATTTTTCCTTCGAATGTTGAAAACCACAGATTTCTAACTATTTTCTTTCTCGAGATATTTAAAAAAATATCGAGATAAATTATATTTTGATGCTAACAACAATTTACCTAATCGACAAGCAGCTCGTTCAGGTAATAATTTTTTAACAGCTTGAGATAATGGTGAATAAGCACCTTGTGGTGCTGATGTAGGTGAAACAAAATCACTCAACCAGGTTTCATTAGCAGTTTTACGTTGTTGTATAACTAAACCGGGATCAATAAATGGACGCATAATATGAGTTACATTATGATTATGTTGATTTTGATCACTACTATTAGAACTGTGAGAAGAAACATCATCGGGAATTGAATGACCATTTAATGTTGTCTCAGGATTTAAAATTTTATCCCCAAATGCAAGTGCTGCAAAACCAGCTGTTAAAGTCGAATTATCTTCTTCATGATTGTCAATAGTTTCAGATGATGTCAATGTTGCCATATTGAGAAAAGATTTTTTTATCAAGAATAAATACAAAATAAAAATAAAATCATAATTATAATCATCTAAAAAGAAAATATTAGAAGATTAATAAATGTAGAAGCAATATTTTTTGTTTGAGACAATTTCGTTCAATAAGATGTTTCAATAAAAACTCAAAATTTTAATATATTTTTAAATTTGGAAAATAATTTTATATGTTAAGTGTTGAGCTTTGAAAACAATTCTGATTTTTTTTTCTCTCGAAGTCTAATTTATATTTCACTAAGTTTAAATCTTTATTCACAGTAGCCAGACATGATTTCAGAGCTCGAGATGGGTGATCCAGTCTGAACTTTATTTCTTTTTATTCAAGAAAGATTTCTTACATAAGAAAACAGAAAAAAATCCAATTTTTCAATGTTGAAGATAGATTTCATTTGATTTTAATCTTTCTTAATCGATTTTTAATAACCAGTTTCAATCTGTAGCACTATATTTTAATCGATCAAAAAAAGACTAAAATCAATTGAAATCTATCTTTGAAGCTGAATTTCTTATATGAGTTTTGCATCTTACAACTGATAACAATCAGAAATCTTTATTATGCAAACGTTTTCGAAGTTTCATTTAACCAATAGATAAGACCAGAGTATTTATTCATTTCAATTATATTCCTCATCTACACATAAGGCCGAGTGCACTATCAATTACATTAAGTGGCATGGGTGTTACTAAAGTGAAACAGTGTTAATTGTACCTAAAAATAGTAACCGATATGACTCTCTAAAATTCATCAGTGGGTATTTCACTTGTGAAAACTTATGCTAATAAATGATAGTCTTTAAGAAGTAAGAGTAACCATGGACACGTCTTTGTTTCTCTATCGATTTATATTACTTTTATTTAATTTACTTCACATCTGACAAATCAATTTTAGAGAAAAGCACGAGAAACTTGTATTCATCTATTAGTTCAAATTGATAAAATTTTCTTTAAGAGGGAACACACTGAGTTCTTGATTTCAGATGATTTCCATCAGTGAAAATCAGTTTTTATCTATTCACCATGAATCAATAGGAATCATCAGAAATGCTTAGAAATGAAGGAAAATCAAGAGCAACCACTAGAAACACTGGCAATTATTGGAAATCAAGAAAATCGATAAAAATTATTAAAAAATCAGGACTTTACTTTTAATCTTATTACTGAAGGTTTTCTAGGATTTAGCATGACTTTCATTGATTTCTAATGACTTCTCATAGTTTCTAATGGTTTCTGATGTCTTTCGATAATTTTTAACCACTTTACAGTCATAAAAGCATTCTTAATGCGTTATAATGATTTCTAACACAGAAATCAGTTTGTTTTCTCTCTTAGTAGTCACTGAAAAAACAAGTAAAGCTATTTCGACTTGGAATTTTATCCATAGTTAAGTCTAATGATCTTTACAATATGCTGAAAGATCCAGCCGAAAAGAATGTTTCTTTGTCGAGATATTGAATTTTCAAGTGAACTCGTTTTTGTATCATACTTATGGTGAGTAACTATTTTTTGGAAATTCAATATCTCGACAAAAGAACATTTTTTTTTTCGGCTGAAACTTTCAGGATATTTTAAGGATCATTAGAACTATCTAGGGACAAAACTTCAAGTCAGAATTTCGCTATTTGACTTTTCGAGAAGTATCTATCACTGGGTCAAAAATTCAGTAAAACGATCATAACTCACGAAGGAACCTCTGCAAATATCAAATCACTTTTCGACCGAAACGATGTTCATTTGATGAGTACTAGTGAAAAATTGAAAAGTCTAGAATGGTCTGGTTTTCCTGACTTTCGTTCTTGAGATATCGAAATTTTATTTAGTTTTTCACAAAAAGTTGTGGTCCTCCTCAGATCACGTAGAAAATCAAGTCTCGATTTTAAACTTGAATATTCGAAAATCTCTCATGTGTAATAGAAAATTTTGCTCATATATTTATATCTCTAGAAAGGAAATATCAGTTGCACAATCAGTTAATCTCATTGAGAACTTTGTTCATTGCAAATTTTGAAGTCGAAACTCGAGAGTCGATTTTCCCTGTGCTGTAAGAGAACCACAGCTTTTTCTTGAAAAACCAAGTAAAACTTCGATATCTCAAAGAGAAAAGCCAGGAGAATAAAATCATTCTAGATTTTTCTATTATTCACTTGTACTCATCAAATGAACATTGTCTCTGTCGAAAAGCAATTTGTCACCTAGCGAGATTTCCTTGTCAGTTTCAAAGACCTATGAGGAGAAACCTTTTTAGACTTTTGCTTGTTTCACCAAGATGTCCTTGTAAGTGCAACATGAGCTCAAATTTTGGGTTTCAGTTCGAGTGGTTTTCTCGTCAGTAAAATAACTTTTGAACTATTCAGTATATCTAACGATTGCATTATCCGATCTGGTAAACTTGTATACAACATACTCAGTAAGCAGATACTTAAATATGCATCATTCAGACAATTATACTTGTATTTATACGAAATCCTATTCTCAATACTAAGGTTATTTTAATAAATTAACTAACTGTTCACCCTGACACATTCTTGAGGCAAATAATCAAGTACCCTACAACTCTTCAACATTAAGGAATACTTGTACAGTACTAATTGAAATTGTTCCAACGTATATGTTGATATGCACTGAAAGTAATAATTTTACAAGTGTGCAATAAAAAAGAAATGGCTATGTCAATAGTTTATGGTAGCGTCTTGTCTATTGTTTTTATGATTCACACTCGATACCATAATGCTTAATATTTCTATTGCAACATCCTCCTCAATTTATTTAATCTAGCGACATTTTAAAAAATCCCATGGAATATTTTCATTGGTTCTTACTAGATCAAATAATCATTTGACAACAGTTGACATCATCAAATTTATTCTCGCCACGACATATATTTTCACAATCAAATAATAAACTTCCACATTATTCTCATCTTTATAATTTTATTGTTCAAGTTACTTTATCTAAAACTATGCAACTATTATCATATTCAATATTTCTTATTGTTATTTTATGTACTTTTTCATTAGTACAATCAAAAACGCCTGTTGATGAACAACATTGTGAAGGTAAAAATATTAAAGAAAAAAAAAACAAATTTCATATTAATTCTTAATTTTGATTTTATTTTTTGTTAGTTTGTATAAAAACTATGAATGCATTTGCTGATAGTTTAACTGATGAAGAAAAATCAAGTGTGGAAAAAATTGAAAAAGCATTAAAAAAATATTGTAGTCAAGTTAAAGTGGATTCAAAAGAACATCGATTGGTAAATAAAAGTTTGCTTTTTCTTTTATTTTAAAATCAATCAATAAATTCTATTTAGTGTTATTATATTGGAGCATTAGAAACATCAGCTACATATGCAATTGCTGATTTATCTAAACCACTTTCATGGGGTATACCAGTAGAAAAAATTTGTCGTGAAAGACTTTCAAAAACTAATCCGCAAATATGTGATTTAAAATATGGTAAATATCAATATTTGTTGTTCTTTTATTTATTTATTGAAATTTGATTTTTTTTTTATTTTATTTTAGAAAAACAAATTGATGTAAATGCCGTAGATATAAATAAACTTAAAGTTAAAGATTTAAAAAAGATTTTAACAGATTGGGGTGAAGCTGCTGATTTTATTGAAAAATCAGAATTTATTAAACGTATTAATGAAGTTAAAGATAAATATGTCAAATTAACAACAGATAAAGATAAAAAAGATTTGTGATAGTCAATACTTTGTTATGTTTATGTCACCTATCTTCTTATTTCTATTTCCTGTCTAGTTTTTTGTTTATGACATGTTTATATACGAATGAACAAACCTCGTTTCGTTGTGTTTTTTTTGTATTATTTCCAAATTACCTGAAACAAAAAGTCAAATCATGGTTATTTTAATGATCTTGATTGCGTTCACTCGTCCTTTGTTTTTTTTAAATATATTCTTGGACACATTCAACTTTTATTAAATTTTGCAATGATTCTCAAAAGCTTTTGTTTCATTAAATGTTGCTATCAATTGCTTGAATTTATATGAATGTATTGATTTGAACTTTAGTCAAATTGAAAAAATTCAAATCTCAAATTCGATTAATAAAAACAAAAAAAGAAACATGTGTCATTTTTTTTTAATTAAATGCTTTATTATACTGTCTCATGATTGCCCAATGAAGATATAAAAAGGAAAAAGTACGTTATATAGAGTTAACAAAAGAGAGCAACTACATAAAAAATAGTACAAGATAGGTCCAATCGTGAACGTAGAAAACAAATAAATAACTATAAAATCATCGAAAGGGAAACCAAAGCTCAAATGCATATCCGCTGCCTTAATATTTATCACATGCACATCACTTCTAAGAGATCGATAAAAAGTCCAATGATGAGATAAACTCAACATATCTAGGTTAGATATGTACAGAATCGAAAAATAAAACTTTACCGAGACTAAAACACAAGTTTATAGTAACGTATTCTATATTTTAAGTAAATTGTCTTATAAATCATATGAATTAGAACAAAAATTCAAGAGAGATGAGCCAAAAAACGTGCTAGTTGTCAACTAAATACATAAAAAAGAAAATGAATATTGAAGAATTATGTTAGATGTGATATAAAGAAATTATCGAGAGCGGAACTAATAAAACTTGGTCACGCACATCTCTAATCTAAACTTGTTATATAAACTCTTTCAAAATGTTTTTCAATAAAGATATAAATCATCGAATAGAATATATTCACCTGTAATAGAAAAAACTTTCTAAAGTTTTTCTCAGCGAAAATCACTTATTTTCTTTTATTGAAAAAAACAATAATTATAGAATAAAAAAAACCATATCTTGCACCTTCTCGCTTTTAAAAACTTGTATATGCACTTACTTACCTTTTTGGAAAATTTCTTTTGTTCCTTTCTCACACTCTTGTTTTCGCCACATGCTTCCTACAGCTAGCATACAATAAACTAATTTTTTTCTCACTTCAAGTTTTCCAGTTTAGCCATGTACAATTAATAAATCTAATAGAAGAAGTTAAATCTGATTCGAAATAATCATAAATCATAAGTTTCTATTCAATTAAATAAAATTTCTTGATTTACATAAATTTAAAACTATGAATAGCATAACAAAACAAAAATAACCTATAATACTTAAATTTTTATAAAAATCTATATATTTGTATATGTTCAATCATAATCTAAAATCAATATTGCAATATAAACTTAACAGAAGTAATATCAAGATATTGTTGCTAATGGTTGGAATCTCTCATATTCAGTCGATATTTTGTTATGGTGTTACAATAGAATATCTTATATATTTCAACATGGAATTACTACGATGTTTTTTTTTTCTTGGCATTATTTACAAAAACAATTTAATTTTAAAATTTACAATATAATACCCACAAATGATTGTTCAATATATAAAAATCCTTGATTTAATATTGTCAAATGACGAATACATTTGTTACTTGTCTCACTAAAGAAATTTGCAATATCATTCAATGTATTTTATTTGTTGAGAATTTTATATTAATTTTCTTTTATGATGAAATTTTTCACTCTTACCATTTAGAATAATTTCTATGAAATAAGAAAAATGAATAATGTGTCATTGTTTCACACATTTTCTGATATTGTAAGTACTGTCAATAGTTTCTATTTATAATTTACAACGTTTACTTAACTGAAAGTGTCTGCCATTTGGCAGTTTCTATTTTTACCGAATGGTCACAGTAGGTGGCCTAGTAAGTGAGAATCTTTAGCTCTTCTGCCTAAAGCATTGCGCTAGACAGATGAACAGGAAAGAGAAGAAAAAGAAAAAGAAAACGCTTGTGGCAATCGCTCAATTAATGCAACTTGTTCGTCGCGGCATTGTCATCTGAGAATCGATGGTCAGTCGGTAGCACCCTAACGAGCACAAAATCTGCTCGAATAATTCAACGAACATGAACATCAGTATATCATTCTTTTCTTTAGAAATAAACTATTCTTTTACATCTTTCTTTCTTCGTTGTTGTTCCTAAAAACAAGTTTCTACTCTATTTCTATTCTATCAACCAATAATAACTAGTCTTTCTCATTCAATAATTTTCTATTGGATGACTAAATAAAAGAAAAAAAAAAAGAAGAAGAAGACGATGATGATGAAGAAGCAACCAAACTAGAGAGACGAAGAAAAAAAAAGAAAGAAAAAATGCATCGATTCTCAAGAGCCTTGTGAGCTATGCCGTTCGTGAGTATAAGTGAGTGGGAACAACATTAGCTTAATGGAAGTAAATTTCATTCGTTAGCTGAAGCTCTTGCGACTTCTCTTCTTTCCCTAACGAAGTTGTCTCCTTCGTTTCGCATTCGAGTAGTCATCGGACATATAGTTTATAGATTTTATCTGCCTTCGTCAATTATTTATTACTCTTCTTCTATCCAATATAATAAGTATAAGTGTTGATTTGTCGTCTAACAAAATTAGTCACCTCAAATTAAGAGTCTTAAGAAGAAAAAAAAACTCTAACTCTATAATGATTATTATATAAGAAGAAAGAGAAAGAGAAACGAGCAAATCATATTTCAACCACTCATTCACTTTTCTCTTTACTAAGATAATAATCATTATCAATGAATAACAAATAATTCAATTTAGACCAACCATATATACACAAGCAAAATGTCAACATTAACCAATAATACTAGAAATCGAATCTCATCTTCATCAAATAATACAAATTTTTCTCAACCATCATCATCATCAACATTTATTAATAATAATGAAAATCCTAATACAACAAATGATACTGATATATCATCATCAACAACATCAACATCAACATCAACTACACTTGGTTTAACAGCAATGGGTTTAGCTGCTGTTACAGCTAATAATATATCATCAAATTCATCTAGTACAGAATGTGATTCAAAACGTAATGTATCATCAAAACTTGATGATCATTATACTAGTTTTTATGCTCTAAATCGAACATTACCGCCACCACCACCTACATCAGGAACATCTCCATTTAATATTATTAATCAATCATCAAATAATAATTTACAATTTGTTACTAATCCAACAGGTTGACTTTTTTTATATCAAATTTTTTATCGAAGAAAAACAAAATATTTAATAATATTTTCGTTGTTTTTTTTTTTTATACATAGGTCATTCTGATAGTGGTGCATTTAAAAAAATAAAACATGAATCTCTTTTATTAAATACTCATCCATATCATCAACTTCAACCATATAATCCTCATTATCATCAAATATCTTCTCTTTCATCTAATAATACAAATAATCTTTCTCCAACACATTCATCAAATTCAAGTCAATCATCACATCATTCATTATCAAATCCTGCTAGTCAATGTCCAACACCAGCACGACGTCGACATCGAACAACATTTACACAAGAACAATTAGCTGAACTTGAATCAGCATTTGGAAAAAGTCATTATCCAGATATATATTGTCGAGAAGAATTAGCACGAGTTACAAAATTAAATGAAGCTCGTATTCAGGTTTGTGATGATCAACGACAACAACAACAAAAAAAAAAAAACCTATATTCAACATCTTGTCATATGATTGACAAGCATAAGAGGAAATGTCGGATGAAGCATCGAACATAGACAGACCGAAGCGAATACTCCTCGCGCTTATATACATAGTCTAATAATTGAATCATGCAGGCACACTCCGTTGTCGCGTAAGAATAGATTTCTAATGAGTATGTGCAGTCGAGCGACAAGAAACTACATCAATACACGAGAGAAAAAGACAAGGCGTCTTGTCGATTAGCCCGTGCATTGACAATTGAATGGGTTTGATTGAAAAAAAAATAGACAAGCAAAATTTTATGATAGGTTGTTTTTTTTTAAAAAAAAAAAGGTTTGGTTTCAAAATCGAAGAGCTAAATATCGAAAACAAGAAAAACAATTACAAAAAGCTTTATCACCGGTTCTTTCACCATGTAATGCAATGATGAGAAATTTTTATCAAACATCTACTGGAAGACCTTATCAATATGCAACAACAGGAACATCAACTGGAACAAATAATGTTGTATCGAATCAAATTCGTTATCCACCAACGGCTGTTGCTTATTCACAGTTTTCACCACTTGCAGCTGCCGGTATTCGACAGGTTCGACTTTTTTTTTTTTTTTGAAATAAAAATTTTATAATGTTTTGTTTTTTTGTTCTAGGACAACCCATTACCTTTTCAAGATACTGATTGGTATAATAAAAGTTTATCATCATTTCGTGTCGATCATACATCAATGCTTCACTATCCAGCTTGAACAGTGTGCGCGCGTGTGTGTGTCTTACCTTTTTACAGTGAAAATATTCCCTTTTTTTTTTGTTTGTATGTATGTGCCATTTTGATCTATGAATAAAATAGAATAAAAAAAGCAAAGAGATAAAAAAAAGCTAAGAGATTTTTTGTTTCTTTTTTTTTTCCTCTTGTTCTGACTTAGTTAATTTTGTTGTTATAATAAGAAGTAATTTAATATTAACTCTTACTTAAAATAACTGTGAATTATTACAATCTTGAAGTCACGATTTAGTTGTGATTATATTAGTTTTGTTGAATAGATCAAAGACTACATGGTATCGTATCTTTAGTACTCTATATTCTCAGTTAAAAAAAAAACCATTACAAATAGTGTGAACATATTTTCTTCTACTGTCTTGGCACTTGCCAATGTGTATGCAAGTTGAATAAGAGTAATCAAATTTTTGAGACAGTTCAAAAATCTAATTTTGTTTCACTACATTCTTTTTATAGACAGAAAGCAAAAGAAGGAGAAAAAAAAGCTATAAATAAATGAAGAAAACACAAAGTATGTAGAAACGGTTGAGTACTTTTACTGATACTCTATATTTATCTAAATTCAATCTAATATGTATGAATTTATTTCCTTTCGATTAGTTTTGTCAAATAAATAATTAAAAAACATTCGTATCAGCTTTTGTTTTTTAATTTTTAAACATTATTCTTTGAATATATAATTGTCTACCGTTTCTCTTTCTGACAAACTAACAATCGGCAGTTGATTGTCTCCTTTTTCTATATATATATATCTATGTGGAAGAATGTAGGATCAAAATGATGAATGAAACATCTCGCCGATTGGTTGTTGATCATCTTGTTGAATAGAGCACATCTTCTAAACAACCATTCATCTTTTTTTTTTCTTCATTTCTTTTTTCTTCTTGTCACTTCTCGTTTCTACTCTACGCAACTTTATTTTTCCATTCTACTCATTCAACGACAAATACTTGAGTGGTCTGACCGATACAAAAGAAGCCGATCTTATTGAAAGATAAATCAAATACAATAAAAAGAAAAAAAGAAGAAACCAAATAGAATGTTAGAAAATAGCAACTATACTATCACATCATGTAAGAAAGATTATTTTTTTCTTTTATTAATTATTAAGAAAAAAAAAATATGTATATTTTTTAGTAAATACTGGTGCATTTAAACGTGCAAAACAAAATGATGGTACAATATTAAATCATTCATTTACATCATCTCTACCTCATTCTCAAGAACAACAACAACAACGTAATCATTCATCAGCTCGTCGTCGACATCGAACAACATTTACACAAGAACAACTTAATGAACTTGAATTATCATTTGCTAAAGGGCATTATCCTGATATATATTTACGTGAAGAATTGGCACGAGCAACGAAATTAAATGAAGCACGTATACAGGTAATTATTAAGATATTTTCACTATAAAGAAAAATCTATTTATCATTATCCCTTGAGATAGACATGAAAAATTTTGTACATATAAATTCCATTTACAAGCGATTTTCCACTTGAATCATATGCCGTCTGTTATGGTAACACGGTTCATTTGATGGTACAATTTCCAGATTGAATATAGCTTGTTTCACACATCCGGATATATATATTCTCTTTACATTCTTTCACTTTTTTTTTTCTTTTCTGAGATCAAGACGTGTCATTTTGAACAACTGTTCAGAAATCGACAAATAAAACTTGGACATATGGACTTTTCCTTTTGAATAGTGTCATTTTGTATGTTCTTGTAATATAACCTTCTTCCACATGTCATATTGAATTATATTTATGCATCAATGATTATTGATAAAAGAAAAATTTTTCATTTTTTTTTTTTTTTTTGAAGGTATGGTTTCAAAATCGACGAGCAAAAGCTCGTAAACAATCACATAATTCTTCATCATCAGGTAGTATGTCACTATCATCTGTTCGTTTATCATCAAAATCATTTTCAACAAATCCAACATCATCATCATTTCATCAAATGTTTAATGGACGAGCAAATGCATCAACTTCGTCTCCAACAAGTATTATGATGACAACAGATCCTGCGATGTTTTATTCATCATTTCCACCATCATCATCATGTGATTTTAATACTCGTTCAACAATTGTAAGTTAATTAAAAAAAAAAATAATAATTATTCAAAATTTTAATGTTTTTGAGGAAAATGCAATGTCATTTCATTCTCAATATCCACAACAACATCAAAATACAGAAGATGAATATACAAGAAATATACGTATGCAAGATTTAATCAATCATCATTCAAATTTATACCATCATTGATGAAAAAAAAAACAAATAGAGAAAGAGTTGCGTCACAGGTGATAGATATCTGTTTTTTTTCTTGCTCTGTATATGTACGTGTTTTGTTTATTTCATTTTCATTTCCTATTATATGACAATTAATTATTCATATGAATTTTACTTGAAAACAAATCTAAAAGTAATTATTTTATATATGTTTAAAGATTGCAAGAAAATGAACCTTTTTTAAAATCTTACAACAAATATGTATTCATAATCTAATTTATCATTGCGTAATTTTCTATATAATTCAATTGATCGGACTCTTATTTCTTTTTTTTTTTGTGTATGAAATTTAAAAAAAAGGAATAATCAATGATCGAAATACGGTTTGTTATCATAAGAGAAAATGATTTATAAACGAATCTGTGAGTTAGGACCCTTAATTCCGGCGAAAATTTGCATTCATTTGATCTGATCGGGAAACAAAATCCAACGATTATTTTACAGTAGTAATACTCAATAGATGGAAACATTTTGTAGATATACGATAAGTATAATTTTCAAAACCTTTTCTGGTGTTAAGATATATGTGTAAACAACAGTTCAATTCTATTCTTAAAAATTGCATCGATTAATTCAAAAGAAAAATTAGATTACTTGTAATATTTTGTGATAATATTGAAGTGATCAAGTGCATGAAAAAAATACAGTCAGCTATCAAAAGAACAACAATTAAACTATGAAACATTGGGCCTATTCAGTTGTTTTTTTTTTGTGTAATTTATTTTATGAAAATCAAATAGATATTATTTTTATACAAACAAAAGTTTGAAAGCAATATTTTGTGTAATGTCAAGTGTAATTATCATATTTAGTTCATGCTCAATCAGATAGATCTTGCAGTCGTTTAGATTAAATTATGCAATCTAGTAATGTGAAGATTACCGAGACATATTCATAATTCATATCTTGAAATTATAATTGATTTGTTATATAATTATTCAATTTTATTTAAAAAAAAAATAATTTATTTAATACAAGTTCCTAGATTATATAAATTTGTTCACCAATGTTAATTAAAATAAGAACATCATGGACGAAAAAGCTGTTAGGAAAAATTCCTACGGGATTAAAATGTACAATACGATATGGTTGATCTTGCTAATCACATGGAGATTGTTTTATTCTATCTATTTTGGGACACATTTCTTCACCATCCTTTTATAAACTTATCCAGAACTGCAATAAGGAAATAGTTCACATATTATAATAAGACGGTATTAATATACATTTTTTGATCGTATATCAACAACGTCAATCACGATTTGTGATAGGTGGAGAGACGCAAGATTTCACCCTATATACTGCAACACTCTTTTTGGATCGTGTTTCACAAAAAAAAAAAAATCACAAGATAAATAAGTACAGATGTAGAAATGCTAGCTCGTGAAATTGATGAAAAATAAACTATAACTTGAGCTAAACCCATTATTGAATCAAATCCTTAATATCAAACTGAAAATGTATCTTCAGCAGTTTTTTTATGTCCTTCAACAAAAATAACTAATGATGTAAGATCATGATTATCCCATTTTCGCCAAACTGCTTCAGGTGAACATATGAGTTGATCACGTCTTGCTAACATTTCTATTAGATTTTTACTATTTATTATTGTACAATCTAAATTATATTCAAGTCATGAATTAATAAATCACCACTTTTACACGGAAATACATTAGGAAATAAAAAATCATTATGCTTCGTCTTGGTGATTTCATGAAAAGGGATGATGAACGATAACTTAATAGTATTCTTTTTGAAGTTGAGCTGATCGTTTTCGATTAAGTGATTACAATTATGCTTCTATTCAAACAAAACATACTTTCTTGCTTTTTAGTGATGCTTCTCTAACTTTCTTTAGCATTATTCGTTCAATCATAGTATACATCAATAGACTAACAACGTATTAGTCATTGTATTTCCCTCTTACTAAGAAGAAGCATTTCAGTTTTCATTGTAGTGTTTTCTGTACAGTCAGTTTTAGAATTCAGCAAAAATCATATTTCTGCTTCATGGTTCGACGGTGTTATGTATCGTTTTTTGTTTTCAATGACTACTATGAGTGTATGATTAATAGATTGACGCTTGACATTGATCGAAATTATGCTTTTGATTCTCTCTTTCTGGTGTTTCAGCACGTTTCATGATTTTTTTTTGTCTTTCATTTGCATTTCAAAGATAGATGTTACGAGTTAGACTTGAATAGATGTGAGTTCAAGTGAACGATCAACACGTCAATGTTTACGAAAAAAATCATTGTCTTTTTAGTGTAAGAGTGTAATTTTTACCGTTTTCTGTATGCTTAATTCGAGATATACGTTCACATTTACTCACAAAAGTACGCAGAAATATCCAAGCCACAACAAACTATATAGCAATGTAATCGAAAAATAATAGCTAGTGGGAACATTACTCGGAGCAACTTGGCCTTGAAAATCAAATCAATAGAAATCATTGTTTTCTTCATACATCCTTCCCAGCACTAGAGAATAGACTTTTGAGCGTATAACTACGCCTAGTTGGCTATCGTCGATGCAAACGATCTCTTCTATGTGGTAAGATCACCAATTCGAAAAAAATTACTCACGAATGAGATTCTCCGAAAAATGAATTCGAAAATAACAAGAAAAGTGTCCAAGGAAAGAATGATTATGTCGAGAATTGGTAAAGCAGATCGAATCAAATCGGGGAACAGTTTTATTTATGAGATTGACATGGAAGTACGTTTTGTGAGAATGATAGCTGAAACAGAAAATGTAGGCATAGGTCGAATCAAAAAGTGAGAAGCAAATATTGACTTCACGACTAAGTTGGTTAGTTGGAATCAGATCTCAATGATACGATTTCTCTTTGTAAAGCTTGTCTTTCTGCAATATAAGCAAGACTCATGCCAGTACTGATCATTTTACAAACAAAGAAGGGAGTATTTCTTTTGATTTATTGAAAAAGTTCTGCACAGGTACACACAACATATAATTAGAGAGAAAGAAACTATGAACGACGATAAATTTCCAAGGAACGATAACTGACTTTATGATTCTTTTCTCATTCATTACTCAGTCTTTTGTTTTCGTTGTTTTTGACAACATTTGACAGCAATGAAGAGAATCGTTATCCCAGGTAGAACAACAAAAATGGCGAATATATCAAGAAGATATCGTTGATAAAATGGCAATGTGTCTTGAAAAGAGATGAAGCGATCGAAACTGCCATTCAATTGAACGAAGAATTCAATTTCTTCCACTGCTCTCTTAATACCTCCAGCATGTTTCATTTCCAAGTACATTTGTTTCACCGCTTGTTGATAGGTAACATTCGTCCAAAGTTTCAATAGTTTCTCTTGAACATCGTTTGAGGTAAAAGTATAATGTCGATAATCATATGGAGTAATTAGGGATTCTAATGGCGACAAGTTCGGAACGAATAACGAAAGTCCAACACCGCGATGATCGATAGCAATCGCATTGCTAAATTGATCCATATTAAATGGCATACAGAGAATTGATTTCTCATAGTAAAGTACTTCGATAATTGAACCCATTCCACAATGACTCAGAAAGATCTTGACAGAATTTTGTTGAAGAATCCATTTTTGTGGTACAAATCCTTGTTCGACTTTTATTCGTTCAGGAGAATTGAATAGATCGTGGAATCGATCATCGTCGATTTCGTTAAGCACTACTTGATACATATCATAATTGACGTTGCGAAATGCCAATAAAGCAGAACTGTTGGGAGTTTCGATAAGAAATGTCGCTATACCACTGATAAGACTCGACATACGTCCATGAGGGATCACTGATGTACTTCCGAACGCAGCAAATAACACAGAATTCGTCTCTTTAGATTTCAACCAACGAGTCAGGTCATTTTCACTAATATTGACTGGTGTTTCATCTATGAATGCACCTAAATATTTCGTGTAAGGATCTTTCACTGTTGACGTGTAGAATGTCGATGGTATGCTGATCAGATGTAAATATTTCGACTTTGAGGAGAGAAGATTTTTCAATGTAAAACTATCATAAAAAGGTCCTGGAACGCGTGGAAGTGAATTGAAAACCTTGTAAAACACAGGAAGAGATTTTACCAGTGATGACAAAACCAAACGAAATGTAAAAATTGCATTGAATAAACGAGTTGTCATTTTTGTCATGTCTGTCGGTGTTAACAGAGAGAAATAATTAGGCAAATTCAAATTTAAAATATTTGGTAAAGAAACTGGACTTTGAACGACACACGGCGTTTTTACTGTGTCACATAAAATTGGAATTCCAACAGCCATGGCACTACTTACAATCACATCGAAACGTTGTTTCATTAAAATATCGATCGTTTTATTCAAGAGGAGCATGGCATGTGGAATTGCTATGGGAGTCGAATGAATAAACGAATCAATAAATGAATAATTGAAGTAGAATCCAATAATTTCTTGTTCGATCTTCTTCTCGTCGATGGCTGCTTGAGCTGAATCATTCGTGTAGATCACATGAAATCCATTCAATGTTTCAAAATCTATATAACTCTTCGCCAACTGTTGAGTAAGAAATGTTACATTGTGATGTTTCATGGCTTTAGCCAATTCGAACATAGTGGTCACATGACCTGCTGCACCATCACTTACGAACAATACATTGAGCGAACATGATCGGGCAACAAACAACAATGAGATAAGACATATGAATGATGCAGTCATTCTTTGGACGATTCACGTTGTCAACACTATCAAATGGAATGTTTTACTAATACACACCTCATTTTATACTATATTGTTGCATTCACCTTGGAAAATAGATTGTCAACAACCAAGCTCGTATGTAGGTAAGCTAATAGAAAGATCAACGTTCTCGTTCTTTGTTGTTCACAAAGTACTAGTTCGGATCACAGACGTCCTGCTGTAGTTGATAAGAAAATTTTCTTTCGTTCTTTCTCATTCGAAAGATATGTAATAGAACTTGGACCCCACCTTTTTTTTGCATCCATTGAAAGGAACAAAAACTAAATGGTTCATCAATGCAGCGAATGGATTCTTCGAGCAAAAAAGATGGCGTGCGATGAAGGATTTTCATAAGAGCAAGCGGGCACTAAATTCAATTGCAGTAGTTTTCTATGAGGTTGTTTGCCAAGAGTATTGTCGTTAAAAGGATATCGGGTAGACATAGAATTTTGGACGAACGGTCTCGTTATTGATCAGAAAATATTTACCGTCAAATTTTTTTTCGAATCATGGTTCTCAACTAAGACCACATCTAACTCCATAGGAGTGATTGCATGGAAGCTACAACGTAGTGCCATAGAAAGGTACTCGATTCAGATCCTCAGATTCACATGAAACCTGTTTTATAGTGTAGAGCACAGGTATACATTTTAAGTTGTCTATTTATCAGATGCGTTCGGCATATATTTCCTGCTGACGGCTGTTAATTCTTCTTGATACTCTAGGACAAGTAGATCTTTTACATGAGAAGATTTCTCCAGTCCAATTCAGTGGACTACGGACTTAGCACTAATTAGTACTGTAATGTAAAGTTTAGGATCTCGAAGTTTTATCCGATGAAGTCTTCTCAGAGTTACTCCCTTTTTCTGAATGATGCATCACATAGGAACGTCTCCAGACTATCTAGCTCGATAATCTCTCATTTGTGCGAAACTTTGCCTACAGTTGAAAGTATGCAAGATACGAACAACTTGAAAGTTTCAGCTTAAAGAAACGTGTACTTTAACAAATACTTAGTCCACACGGTAGATGTGCTACAATGATAATTTAATAGAATCTGCGAGACCACCACACTCGATCATCTTTGGAAGGCTTTACATTCTGACTTCCCATGAACATTTAATAGGCTTCTACTTGACAATTTTTCGTAAAATACGAAACCTTTCGAGCACTGGTACGAGAAATTATAAACGAAGCATTTACAATGTATGAGTTTTTCGGTCGAATTTTCGCCTAAATTAAGTATTTTTTCTATTTTTGTATTCTCTTAGTATTAGTTCAACAATTTCATATGGAAGACATCTCAAGATATAGAACAGAACATTCTTTAGAAAACTATCGAGAAGATTATTTTATGTCATGTTTTGCATATTCATTAGAATTTCTGCAGAATGACATTGTGTTAATTAAAATGTCACGTGCTTTTAGTATTTTCGAGAAACATCAATCACAAGTACATGATCCTACAATTGGGAGCATATTTTTCAAAAGCCCAAGGAAAACTTGATCGATCAGTATAAAAATACTTTCAAAACATTTTGTACGAAAATTCTCGGAAAGTCCCCTCCGAGATTAAGCTGGAATTTAGAACTTTATATTGTGACGTAGGTCTTAAAAAATAATAGTGTATGCCACTCATAATAAGTCATGACTTGTCTGTATCGTCTTTTCGAAGAAACCTTCACTACTTGAGATGTCTCCAAACAGAATAGTAGTTTGTAGTGAGTAATCGTTGGAACCCTAAGACATTCGCAATCTCTGCATAAAGAAAGATATATTCACTAGAAGTCGAATTGTAGAATATAATTTTGTCATGAATGTATTTGAACATTCAGAACATACAATATTGTAGAGGTCATCGATTACTACTAAATAAGCTACTGTAGTTACTTGTTTCAGCTTTGAATGAGACGCCAAAGACTTGAAAACAATAAAAAAGGCTTTTTTTTCTATACAGTGGACTGCACACAACCAACTTCATACATCTTGATTACAGAAGATTTTCAATCGGATATGCCTTCATTTTTACGACATCAGAAGTCGTACCGTTTCTATTACAGCTTTTCTAGACAATACGTATGCAACTAGTGGTGACTCATCAATCGAATCCGATATTCGGAGGCAATTGAGTTCGTCTAGTCTGAAAAAAACTAACTGATCTTTCTACCACCACTGTGATCAATATAGAAGTGATGGCAAATAGAATTCAATTTAATTCAACGTTTAGTACCATCGCGTATTCAAGTGGCAAACAATGTTCGTGACTGTAGCTGTTGTCGTGAGTTCTTATCATAATCTCAGCTGATTGATTACTTTGTTCATCTCGTAGATGAAGCTACGAAATTGATAGAATGAATTCATCAATGCTCCATCGTCGTTTGTGATATCAATAGCATCTATTTTTTCTATCCTAATGAACAAAAATAAAGTCAGCTATCAAAAGAACAACAATTAAACTATGAAACATTGAATCCACTCAGTCGTTTTTTTTTTGCGAAAGTTTTTTTTTATGAAATTCAAACGGATATGATTTTTATAAAAATAAAAGTTTGAAAACAATATTTTGTTCAATGTTAAGTATATGTATCCGATTTGGTTCATATTCAGTTAGATAGGTCTTTGCAATCATTTAGATCAAATCATGCAATTTAGTAATGTGAAAATTATCGAGATATATTCACAATTCATATCTTGAAATTATAATCGATTTATTATATAATTATTCAATTTTATTTTAAAAAAAAATAAATTGTCTAATATAAATTGCTAGATTATATAAATTTGTTTATCAATCTGTGAGAAAAATGTTTTAATTAAAAAAAGAGAAGCATAAACAAAAAGCGATAAGAAGATAAACAAGTGTAGGTGTAGAAATATTAGCTCGTGAAGGAGATGGAAAATATACTTTAAGTTCAGCTAAACCCATTGTTGAATCACATCCTTGATACCAAACTAAAAATGTATCTTGAGTAGTTTTTTTCCATCCTTCAACAAAAATAACTAATGGTGTAAGACCACGATTAGCCCATTCAGATGATGAATTATCACATTTTTCCCAATCTAATTCAGGTGAAAATATAGGTTGATCACTTCTTGCTAAAATTTCTGTTGGATTTTGTCCATTTAATATTACCCAACCTAAATTATATTCCAGTGACCAATCAGGTTTTGGATTTGTAATATTTGTTCGTCGTGCTGAATTATAAAGAAATAAATAATTTTCATCACTTAATTTTAATGGTTCAGGTCCAGATTCAACAAGTTCAGAATCAAATGAATCAGATCGTGTACGAAGAAGATACTCATTTGTTAAACTATAATGAATAAGATCTGTTGTTTGTGCTATAGCAATGTTTGAATCATTAAAAAATAAATAACGATGAGTATCATTATGAATTAATAAACTACCACTTTTAGACCAAAATACCTCAGGAAATAAAGGACCATGATGTTTCCAATTTCCTTTCGTTAAACAATTACTTTCACAAGTAGCTAATGCTAATTGAGCACGCCAATCACCACTGGGCTCTTTACTTACAGCCGTGTAGTATCTAATAAAATTCAAATGAAATTCATTCAATATGATTCCATACGAAATATTTCGAATAAAAATATTTTAATTTAAAAAAACAAAAACTATTAACTTACAAATAATAAACTCCATTAAAAAGCACAACACGAGGATCTTCAGCTCCTACAGATTGATAATCTACATCGGTATCAATAATAATATTTTCTTGTTTTATATGTGAATATTTCAGATGATTATTATCAATACTTTGACTTACGGCTATCTTACTTGGACCGACATTATAAATAGATTCTGCATTATCAAGTAAATTTTGTACACGTACTAAAAGTATTATTGCATTTGAATCATTTATCATAGGCATAAAAGCACTATTATAATTATATAAAAAATCAGAATTTTTATCCCATGATGATATAATAGGGTTATTTGATAAACGTTTCATTTCAAAACGTGGTGGAACATACGATACACTGTACGAACTCCATAACAATACAAAAAATAAAATGGTAAATACTTTTGATATAGACATACGGACTTCTTTTTTTTACAATTGAAATATAAAGGTAACTATTTTATATCACAGCTATATAAAGAACAACATCTTATATCAATAAATGTTATCAAACAGATAAGCCTTTGTTATTTTCACTATTGCATTAAATCAAGTGTCAATAATTGTGTAAAGATAATACAATGATATTTATTTTAAAGAGGATACCATAAATTCACTATATATAGATATCCTCAATTCTTTTTTTTATTTTTGCATTCTTTGAAATAATAAAATAATACATTAGGATAAAAATGCTAATAAAAAAAACAAAACATCAACAGGTCAATGATAACTATGATTAATATTTAAATAAAATGAAACAAATATATATATACTGTGTATATGAGATTCATTTATTGTTGTTTTTCCTTTGATTTATTCTTCTGTTATTATATCACTTTCTAATGCATGTTTAAATTCTTCATAACTAATATATCCATCATGATCAAGATCTTCTTCTTTAAATATATCATCAATAAGATACATAAGTTCTTCATCACCAATACGTTCAGATTGTGTATTATTTTGTTCATATATACTAGAATCATAAATATCTTCATCTTGATGTTCATGATTGAATGCAGCTACGACTTCCAAACCATCTAAACGGTTATCACTATTTGTATCATGTAATTTAAAATAATAAAATTTTTTTTCTTCCGCTGTTAAATCTTCTGTTGGTTTATTTATTTGACCTTGAAGATCTTTTCGAATATGGCTAAAAAAAAAGTCAAATATCATGTCAAAATATAACGAAAATAAAAAAACCAAATTTCTATACTTTATGTCATATACATGATCTTCCATTTTTCGAGATATATGTGGTTGTTCACCGGTAGGAATTTGGCTATCACTCCCATGTTGACCATGACTATTTATTCCATAGATAAAAAAAAGGAAAACAAGAAAACGAATACGCATTCTATAAATAATCTGGAAAGATACATATTGTTATCCATGCCTTGGCTTGGCGCTCTTCCAGATGAATCATCTAATATTCTATTTGTCTACTTTTAAAACGAATCATATAATATTAATAATCTTCTATTATTCTTTTCAATATATTATTAATTTATAAAATCAATTTATTTTTCTTTTCAATTATAAAATAAAAAAATCTCGAAATAAATTTAATAATTTGATTATAAAAGTTGTGCAACTATGTCCTCAAAGAAGGAATATTTCAATATCGACAAAAAAAAATACATATGATTGGTCAATAAAAAATGATGGATTTTAAAAACAAAAATGGAATAGAAGATTATTTTATGCAAGACAGATAAACAAATCGAAATTTGCAAAAATGATTTTCATCAATTCAATAAAAGCTTTTATTTTCTATGCAATGATACTTATTGGTTCATGTTTTGGATTTTTTTTCGCTGTTACACCTGCAGTCCCTTTCATGCTTTTAAATCGACGAATTTATTTGCGTTGGTGTTCTTTTGTTATGGGTTATCATCTTCTAATGATTACTGTAAATACGTACTTTAGATATTAATTATTGAGAAATAAATAATTTCATATTTTAGTGTCTTCTGGAAGATTTACTTAATATTAAAACAGTTATTACTGGTGATGATTTAACGAATAATAAAAAACGTTCATTAATTATTTTAAATCATCGAACAAGACTTGATTGGATGTTTGTATGGATGTTACATAGTCGATATAAAATTCTTAATCAACTTAAAATTGTTTTGAAAGCTTCACTTAAACATATACCTTGTCTAGGTAGAACTATTTTATTTATTTTTATTCTATTATTATTTTCAAGTAAAATAAATATTGTTTCTTATAGGTTGGGGTTGTCAACATGCTGGTTTTCTTTTTCTTGAACGTGTTTGGACAAAAGATCAACATACAATGAAAAGTATAATTAGTTATTATAAATCATGTCAAACACCAATTTCGGTACGTATTTTGATAGAGCTTTTTGCTAATAGAAGAACTAACATAAGAAATATATTTAATATATGTAGAATAAATAATCCTTATGCTTGCACATATAATAATCGTGAAACATACGAATCTACAAAATAAAAAAAATCAGTTAAATGTTTTACGAAGCAAAAAAAATAATGTATTGATTATACATCTGACTTAAGATTTTCCCAATATCTTGTTTATCTAAGGTAAAAAAAGTCAAAGAAAGAATTTCGTACTATTAAAATATAAAAAAGTGTTTTTTTTTTCGTTTAAAACTTAATGCATATATGTTTAAAATGTTTTCAATTGAAGTTTTATCGTATTTCAAACGCTGTTTGATCTTTTAAAAACATGCGAAGACTACTAAAGAACTATAAAACTCAGCTCATATTCCTATCGATGAATTACTTTATAAACATACGAGTAATTTGGTTGATTTAATGTTTTGTTAATAATTTTTTACAAGAACAAGCTGTCGAAATAAGATTTCACTATCTTAAAATCCTTGTTAGAATAATAATTTAACTTTGTTTAATTTCTGTCTTCAGTCATACACTGATCACACGAAGACTAAACATATATGAATATGTTCTATATATTTAGGCTGTATAGTCATTGGTTTATAATATTTAAAGTTGATGATATTTCAAAATTTAAACGACGTACCGAAACTTAATCGGTTCGAGCTATTTGACTTTTAGAGCCTTTCCTAATCGAATAATATATCGTATTTATCGTAATCGTGATAGTTTATGTGCTCTGCATGTTTGCTTCAGCAGTAACTATGCTTAAAACCTTTAAAAAAAAATTAAGACGCAAGTTGTTTTCTATATGTATAGTTATTAATCTTTCCCGAAGGAACAAATTTAGATGATAATACAAAAAGAAAAAGTAATGATTACGCTTCGAAACAAACAACATACAATAGACCATACGATTATTGTCTCCATCCACGTACCACAGGATTTGCGTATTTACTTAATACAATGCGAGCAGGTGTAATAATTAGAAAATTATTTAATTTAATTATTTTTTTTTTTATTATTTAGATAATATGATTGATAATGTTGATGATGTAACAATTGCTTATGAAGGAAATTTTCCAGTAACAGAACTTGATCTATTAAAAGGTGTTGTACCAAAAGTAGTTCATTTTCATGTTAAACGTTATCCTATAAATGATTTACCGCAAGAAGATGAAAAAATTGGTCAGTGGTTACAAGATTGTTGGAATGAAAAAGAAAATCGATTAAAAGAGTAAAAATAATTCATTTTATTTTTATTTTATTATTTCTTATATTATTAGATTTTATACTAAAAATCAATTTGATTCACCATCAAAAAGATTTAATAATCAAGAAATTGAATCATATGTACGATTTCAACGTCGTCTAGCACTTATTCTATGGATTTTATTTATTCTATTTTGGTCATACTGTCTTATTGCTTATATTAAAATAAAATTATATGTTTTAATTGTTTGTTTATTTCATTGGGTAATCGAAGCTTTTGCTAATGGTATTATTGATTTTGTTTGTCAACTGGATGAAAATTATCGACAAACACAACGAACTATCAAACGAAATTAACTTTAATTTTCTATTTAAATAACTTAATTTTATTAATTTTATTAATTAATATGTTAGATCATATTTAAAGATTCTAATATTAACAATTATTTATTTTATTCTAGATAAAATAAATCAAAGAGTTATGCAGATCTTTGTGCGTACTCTCGATGATCGAACATTAACACTTAATGTTCAACCTGATGACACCATTAATGAAATCAAAGAGATTGTTGAACAACGTGAAGGTAAATCATTTGATTAAATAAATATTTTCATTTTTTTTATTTAATTTTAATATTTTTAGGCATACCTGCTGATGAACAACGTTTAACATTAGGTGGCATTTCATTAGATGATGAATTAACACTCAATGAATGTCATGTTGAAGAAGAAAGTACACTTTATGTTTTACTTGATCTTGAAGGTGGTGGCAAAAAACGTAAAAAGAAATCTTATAGTACACCAAAGAAAAATAAACATAAACGAAAGAAAGTTAAATTGGCCGTACTTAAATATTACAAAGTAAAAAACAAACAATAGAAAATAATTTCTTTTTTTGTCTTAAATTAATATTATTTATTTAAGGTTGAAGATAGTGGTAAAATTCGTCGTTTAAGACGTGAATGTCCATCAAAACAATGTGGTGCTGGTGTATTTATGGCTGCACATCATGATCGAAATTATTGTGGAAAATGTTGTGTCACATATATGTTTACAAAACGTGAAGAAGAAAGTTAAAAAAGAAAGCACGAATACCTACACAATGATATTTAAAATCGTTGTTTTCTTTTTTTTCTTTGTTTTGTATGAAACATCAAATGTCTTTTTTTTTGCATAACATCATGATAAAAGAAAAATAGAAAGACTAAATAAAAAAAAAAGAAAAAGAAATATATTCATAGTATGTTTTCATCCAAAGAATAACATCGTTTAATTTATCTTTTAGATTATTTAATAATGGCAGCAACACAAATGAAAACACCACTTAATCCAAGACCATATATTAATGAATTAGTTGGAAAAAAAATTCTTGTTCGTCTCAAATGGGGTATGACCTATGTTGGTAAGTAAAATAAATTTATTATACTTGAATCAGTCGAAAAGTTTTGTTACTTCCAACAGTTTATTAATAGAAAAGACATTTTATTTATTTCTCTATAGTAGATATGGTCAAGATGGTTATTATTCTCACGATTCATAGGCTAGGAAACTTATTGAGTAGCGATCATTTCCATATTTACTCTTACATTTTTTATCATAAAATGAATACTTTTTTTTGTTGTAAACCAAAAAGGATTAATATCACTCGTCACTACTCTATAGCAAATGTTCGAATTAGTTATTGTTGTTCTTGTGTTAGTTCATGAAATACCTATCTTGACGATATCTTTCTTAGCTGTAGATGTTTTTTTAAGATGGTATACACACGGTCGTGAGATATATCCAAGACGTTGGCTATTAGATCAATACTAATACGTAGGTCTATCATCGAGTAAATATTTTCTTGAGTAACAGCGATTATTGGGCGGACTCTACAAGGATTGTTTTCTAACGACTTTCGTCCATTTGTAAAGTCATAAAATTAGTGGGTAACTGTACAATACGATACATAACATTGACCGTAAGCAGCAACCAATTCGTCATGGATTTGAATAGTAGTTAAACTCAATAACGAGCGACTTTTTGTATAGTAGCGTTATACACTATTTTATCTATCTGAAAATATAGATGAAGAAAAAATTAACTAAAACTCAGAGATAGTAAGGAGTTGTAAAGATTGATATTGACAATTTAGTACATAATTGTTGTCGCTACTAGAAAAATCTCACATCAAAACTAGAAACAATCAGCATCAAATTTGCATTCAGTATTGTCAAAACTTTTCGACTATCCTTCGTATATACGTATTTATATAATAATAAATATTTATATCTTTAATTACATTTTAGGTGTTCTTGTTAGTGTTGATCAATATATGAATGTACAATTAGGTAATGCTGTAGAATATATTGATGAGCAAAACAAAGGTCCATTAGGTGAAATTCTTATACGATGTAATAATATTCTTTATATATCCGGTATTGATGAAGTTGATGAAGATGAAGATGCTATGGCATAAAAAGAAAAGAAAAAAAAAAACTTTATTCGAAATATTTCTTGTTGTTGTTATTGTACGTTTCTTTTTTTATTCTTTATGACGTGTATGTGTGTAGCTGAAAATGAAGATTGATAAAAGATAAACAAGACAGATTTGTCATAAACCGTTTAATGACTATTTTGTTTGCTTTTTTCTGTAAATAGAACTATGAGATATATGCACATAATCTAGGAAATAGGAAATATTTTCGTATATCGATTTTAAATAAACGAGAATGGATATATGAAGCATTAATGTGTTTAAAGAAAGATTTGTAATATTATGAAAAGCTATTTGAAAATAGCTAAATAATTCAAATGAAATGTTTGTGGAATATATCCTCGATGTAGGTTTTCTCAATGAGGTACAAGTTTTTGAATTATGCTAAAAGATATTGCTAGATTTGTTGGATTTCATATTGGATGGATTTTAGTTAATGATTTATATATTATTTATTAAAAAAATGGGATTAAAAGAGAAAACATTTTTTAATTAAGTGAAGATTAGCATATGGAATAGAATATCGAAGAATAACAATGTTCAAATTTGTCGCCAGTCGATTTCATCGGATAAACGTGCTTATCATTTGAATAGTTGATTTGAGAGAACGGTCTTAACGAAAGAACACAACTTGATTGTACTTTTTCGCTAATATTAGATCTCCAAGAAACTAAAAAAAGCTTAAAAGGCTATGATTGAATAACCTTTTGTTCTGTCGAGGTCTAAAGGAGTACATTTACATTATTATTTATGTAACTCTTACAAAAAACAAATAGATAGACTAATTTATTATCTATTTAATGTTTTGAGATCTGTAGATATGGTCTAAAGTAGACTGCAAAAGTCTAAGACATTTTTTACATCGATGTTTTTCTATGAAAAAAAAAAGAAGGTAAGAGACATATTTTGTGTATCATATAAATCTAGAATCAAGATCTACACAAAGCACCTATTCTTGCTCTAATTGATTGTAGTGTGAAGGAAAAGAATCCTAGTCGAACTTTGTTTTTCTTCATGCTCATGAAGTTCTTGAGGTCTTTTGGCAAGCTCAGGTGTTTGAACGTCTTGTTCCAGCATGTGTAAGAGTGATCAGAAACGAAATACTTTATGGAAAATACTACAAGTTGCACAAATTAGCAACTAAAGTCTGCCTTTGTCGTAAGCTAACGAATAGTAATACTCCCTTGGATTCGATCACCTTTCATAACTATGAAAACGATATCTGTGATGTGTGAAACTAATTTCAATTATATTTTCTACATCCTTTTCGTTTTCTTTTCTTCAGTTTTAGATTCAAAATGATTCGACTCATAATAAAAATTCACAGCTTAAATAAAAAATAGTCTGCAACAGACAGACCAAAAAAAAATCTACAGGAGTAAATAGATTCAAACATCCTCAATGGCAAGAAGCATTCTTTCATCTCGAGCAACAAAAAAAAACTTTTATTATTTTATTCCAGTTGATTGCTTCACGTGTGCTCATTCGTATCATTTTTCTGAATTCAGCGTATGAGCTGCTTTCAATGTGCACATAACTCATGTAAGCATTCAAGTGCTTATCTATGGAAAGAAGCTCATGTGATATGGGCACATTGTGAGATCTGTGCATGTCAAGCACATGAAAAGAAAAATTTGACTAGGGCAAGAAATTCAATTTTTCTCTAGACTGAATTTCAGATGAAAGAAGACTAAAAGACTTTTTCATGTTTCTCGTGAGCTTTGATCAAGATATCTATGAACAGATTTGTTTTTTTTTTCAACTACTTTTTTCTTTGGATTATTACAAAACTTTTTATAAACTTATTGTTCTTTTGTAAAGAATGAAAGCTTTGGTATTTTGATCTTTTCATCAAGAATGGAATATTTGAAAAAAATTACTTAAAATTAAGTTTTGACTTGATTTGTAATCAAAAAATCTCTGATTTGTCTGTCTCTGTTCTTTAGCATATAAAAGATTAAGACATTTCTAGTATTTTGTTGACTGTATTGTTATTGAAAAGCGGTGTCAATTTTTGAAACTATATAATTAGATGCAGAATTGAACGGACTACGTCTTAGTACAGGGCTGCCATACGTACCCCATTGTGGGGTACAGTACCCCATTTTGCCATTTTGCACCCCAAAAAAAGTTGTGCCCCCGGGGTACACCGTTTGTATCCCATTTGAGTTTTTGCATTTCTACTGTCATAAATTCGTCTATGAATTGAAATGAATTATATTTTTTTTTTATAATACTTGTCATGTCTCTGTAGAAACATTCATAATACGCAATACTAGTGAAGAATCGACCAATGATTATTATAGTACTTTGGCGTCGAATGCAAGGTGAGGGGTTGTCTTTTAATCCCTTCTCTTGCAATGATTTTTGTTGTTTTACAACCAAACTCAAGTGTTTGCTAGGGGACACTTGGAACTATATAATAGTATAATAATATTAGCAAATTATCAAACTGACTGTATAAAGAGAATAAACAATAGTATATGTGCAAAAAAAGTTTGACATAAGTTTTATCAGGAATTAAAACGTATTTATTCCAGGCAGACTATGGCTGAACTATCTGGAAAAATGATGTCTTAAGTGGTTAAAAATCACCATAGTCTCTAAGTCCAGAAGTATTATTTGAAAGGTTTCTGTTTATTAAAAGATTATTCAATGTTATATTATGTATCCGTATTATTCTCATCATCTTTGCCTTCATTGTATTCTTTTTCGTCTACTACTTCCTATTTATTTGCATCCATTCTATTATTTGTCGATCCTTCTAACAAAGGATAACGGCTAATTAAAATATCGTAGTATTAGCGAGCATGTGTAATCATTGTTTTGTCTCCTTCCGTCTGCGATTAGTACCAAAGCAAAAATCACTATGGCTGTGATTACGGGCACCAGTGTCAGAACTAAGGTTCATTTTTTTCATAACTAAGCCAATTAGAATGATTAAGTAAATTTCTGTTGGCAAATAATAGCTACGCTGTATAAGTATATTATAGAACTGTAAAACTATAATAAACGCTTACCAGAGGAATAAAACAAAACCAGATAAGATAAGAGACATTTATACATCTCCGGACAAAAGTCTTTTCCCCGTTATCTGTTCATGCTGCCATACTTGAATTCAAATTTATTACCGAGTAGAGATATGACATGACAGTTTTATTACTGTGTGATCTGTACACCATACTGGAATAAAACTCTCATGTTATATCTCTATTTGGCAATAAATTTGAATCAAACTATGATATCATAAAAAGATAAAGAGGAAAAGATTTTTGTCCGAACGTGTACATTATAGGAATAATTATTTATATTTATTAACAGCTGTTACTCTTTGAAATAATGTTAATTGTAGCTGGTAGCGGTCTCTCTATAACTATACTCACAAATATACGGTAACTGTTTTATGTTTCTTGCTTATAGAAAAATACAAAAAAGTAAAAAACACCAAAACTGAAAAAAAAGTTTTCATCTTGAATTTGACGCCAAAGTACTATAGTTGATTTCAATATTTATTATGCCTTAATGAAAAATATTATATCGTTTATTTTTATAGTACTTAGATTTGTTTCCAAAAGTCATGATTAAACTGAGAGTATTTTATTGTGTTAAAAAAACAACAATGAAATTGATTTCTAAAAAAGAAAAATTGAATATTATGTTGTTTCATAGAAAAGTAATTTTTTTTAAGTGTTTCCACATTAACCCTTCTATTTCAATAAAAAGTTATGTACCTCAATGACGTACCCCATTGTAAAAAAAAAGTACCCCAAGAGTACCCCATTTGAAATCTGGTACACCCCATTTGAATATTAAGATATGGCAGCCCTGTCTTAGTATAAAAATCATCAGCTACTAACTAGAAATGTCTTAAACTTTTGCAGTTCACTTTACAATAAGAGTTTCAACGTTCAGCTCCTTGAATTATGAGAAGGAAACATGAATAGACTTATTCATTTTAAAATCTATTAAAAAGTCCAATACTATTCAATAGTTAAAAATATCCTCTTATAAATTTCTTGTTACATCATTAGTTGTTAATATGAATGAAAAACTGGATACTATTGGAAGTTCATGAATATTTTCAATATGAGTGAAATCTAATAATCGCATAATTGGTTGTTCATATCAGTTTGACCAAGGTTTACTTATTCTATTACATCTAATTGTATCATGTCCTTCTATTTTAATGATTTTTCGACTGCAATTACAACCTTGATGATGTGATTCGATTTCTTCCTTTTGTCAATACCTTGAACTATCAATGGACTGTTAAGATCATTTTTCAAAAGATTTATTAACGAGTATATTTACAAATGCAAAAAAAAAGTAACGTACTTCAATAAATAGTTTTGTTTTAGAATGAATTATCTTTTCTTAAATGTTTTCAACAGGCTAAAACTTGAAAATTTTCAGTCATTGAATAAATTCTCGTTTTATTTATATTAATATTTCGTACTTTATAAATGAATTTCATGTTACCAATTTAATAAAATATAAATATACAAAAAGATAAAATAAAATAAAATAAAATAAAATAAAAATAAAAATAAAAATAAAAAGGTGTATTAATGAACAGCACAAATGGTTGCTGAATTTCCATTTCCATTTTGTTCAATATTCGTTGATGGTGTAATTGAGTCATTTGGTTGTTCTGATTCAACTTCTTCAATAACTATTACATTTTCTTTTTTATCTTCTTCTTCTTCTGGAAAAGTTGGAATTGTAATATTATTTGTTTGTATATTACGTTTTTTATTTGAATTATTTGGTTTTAAATTAAGATATTTTTTTCGTTGTATAGTATGAAATCTATTTGCTGATGTAATCGATTGTTTAATAGTTATATTATTTAATTTATCTAATGAACGAGTTCGTATTCGAAATGTATATTTTGCTTTTAGTTCTTTTATTTTTATTAAACGTTCACGATCAATATTATTATCAATTGGTTTCATTGGTTCTGTTCTTTCTCTTGAATTAATATTTTTATTTAAATTTGTTTCACTAGTTAATGGAAGAATAACTTCACCCCTAGTAATAATCGTAGCAGTTGTTGTAGGTATTCGACTACTTTTTATACGAGGTGTAGTATGAGTCAAAGATGAATCAGTCGTTGAATCTCTTATTGAATGACGTATTTGCATACGTTCACTAAATATTTGATTATCATCACGTAGAATAGTTTCAGCATCATTATTTTCATCATAAATAAGTTGATAATTTTTTAAACATTCAACAGGTAATAATGGACGGCGATGTTTATATTTTTCGAAACAATCAAGTACAATATTAAGTGTTTCTTCGAATAAAGGTTTTGTTGTTGTATTTAATTGTGTATTACCCCAACTTTTTTATGTGAAAAAAAAAGAAATAGTTCATCGTTGATACTTTATATTAATTGAACTTACCCAACACCGGGATTATCATTCACTTCCAAAAGCCATAAACGAAAATTTTCATCCAGTAAAAAATCACAACCAAATAAACCAAAATGACCAGCTATACGTTCTAATTTATTTTTACTTGCACGGATAACCTGTCGAATAATTGTTTGCATACGATCCTATTCAATAGATATTTAATAGTTTACAAAAAAAAACAAACTATATTTTCATTAGATTATTTCTTTATTTATATTGTTTTATTCACTTATAAACTAATTTTATACTTTATAACTTTTTAAGATTCAAAACTACTTCAATAAAAAAATGTTTTAATGTAAATAAAAAACTACAGATAACTTCTAATTATAAATAATAATGGTAATGTTTTTTTTTTTGCAATATCAAAGTTGTTAGAAAAATTCATTAATAGGAAATAATTATATGACAAGAAGAGATTTCAGTTTGATGAATTGAAAGGAAAAATGAAGAATAATCTTTTATGTAAGATATATCGTGATAAATAGCATTTTCGATAAATATAGAATAATAATTGTAAAATATTTAGGTCAACTTATAAATTTTTATTATTATGTATATTTAAGTATAAGCTATTGATAGTTCTCAACCTTCGAGTGTTATTTTCATTTTACTACACCAAAATGTATTTTGTAGGTCTAGTCGGACCCATACACAAATAAATAAGAAGGATTTGATTTTCTTTGCTTTATTTACGTCAGATATTGATGAATCGAACATCTTTATCATGATCTTTTCAGGTAGAGAAACATCGTTATGACTCCTGACATCTAGAAAATATTCGCAGTTTAAAAGATATTTTTCTAAGAGATTATGATAACAAGTATAATGTTAAAATATTGTGGAAGAAACTAAAACTAGAGGTCTGACTACAGTACAATCAAGTAAATGTCCTCACATGTATGGATATAGTAATCTACTTATATAAAAAACGAGAGAAATTTCTTTTTTATTTATCTTTTATGTTCTACAACGAATAAAATACAATAAAGTCACGATCATAACCGAATTGTTTCATGTGGACTCATCCCTTGAATTTTTTTTCCTGTAATACTTATTCATGAAAGTTAATATGGTCTTTTTATATTGTTCGAAGACTAACGATTAGAAAAGAAATTGATCGGACAAGAAATAAGCATTAATGTAGCGAGAAACAGAAAACAACGTTGTATGTTCAGCCGGATCCACAAAAAAAGTATTCGAGCGTTAAAACATTTTTTGAAAAAAAAAAACATTATAAAAACTCCTTCATTCAATAATGATCATGCTTCGAGCATTAAAATAATCTGATCAAAATATTTTCTCTATTAGATAATCTAATTATCATTCCTTTACCCAATGTGTATGGTAATGATAAAAAGCCTGTCCAAATAGCAATGTTATTACATTTTTTTGTAAACATCGGACCGTGTTGGAGAAGCTAATCTTAAAACAGCGACAGAAAAATAATGAACTATGTTGTTCAACTCAAGGCATCATTATTCTACATCCAATTAAAAAGATTATTCTACATGCATATCGTCTTTAAAATATATTCTTTCAAATGATATTACAATGAACTTTTTCTAGAAGGTATTAGCTGAAAATCTCAGTGATCTACAATAATTATCTGATTACTTTTGTACTTATGGATTGTTGACCTAATAATGATGTTCTAGCAAAAAACAGATGAAGTTAGTTTTCGAGAAAACAGTTTAGTTTTGGAAATCAAATTTTTTTCAATCGACAATCATCAACTATCATTTTCCCGATTGAAATGTATGCTCATTGGCAATGTTTTGTTTTTTCAATCCCACAAAACTATAGTTTACATAGGTGAATCAGTAAGATTTTTTATATCGTAAATATTATGCAATGAGTTATCTCTAATAAAAAAAATTTTAACATTATTTATTCATACTATTTCCATATGTGGATATTCTAGAGGATATCAAATTGTTGAAGGAAATTCATTACTACAACATCGAATTAGATATTAAAACTAGTTTTATTAGCAAAAGCCGATTATATTAAGTTAATGATGTAAAAATCTTGCTGTTTTATTCATCCAATAAGGAAACATATCCAACTGTGGTACACCGCTCGTGTTATGGCTACGGGTAGGTCTTGCTGAGACTAAGAGGAGCTTAAAAAAAGATTCAGGTATATGATGTACTGATAGAGACTCGTGAGTGTTGTAATGAAATTTTTACTGAGAGCAAGGCATTGTAGAAAAATCCAAAACAAAAAGTTTCAACCTAAAATTTGACCGATAGGTACATTTGATAGTCATTAGATTGTTTTAAAAATTTCAACGAAAACGAATGTGTCTTTCTCGAGATATTCGATTTTGAAGTAGACTCGATTATTGTGTCCTCCTACAGTCTAATGACTATCAAACGTACTCATAGGTCAAATTACAAGTCGAAACTATTTATTTTGAATTTTTCGACAATGCTTTGCTCGCAGTAAAAAATTTCATGAAAACATCTATAACTTTTTATCAATAGCCCATTGGCTCGAATCTTTTTAAGACTGTCTTAGTCTTACTGAGACCTACTCATAGCCATTATATGAAGTCGAACGGCATCCGACAGTTGAGTATGTTCCCTCGTTAGCTATATTTTCACAGGATTGAAAATGATACACTTCTTGTAACTATATGATTTAATCGAGATAATACTCGATGATTATCTACAGAAAATGATTTTTATTTCCAGAAACACATTTTGTTTCTCAAATATTAACTTTGCTTGTTTTTTCGTAAGAAAATCGTTATTAGTGGAACAATTCCTACTAATGGTGGAATGGGAAAAGTATCGTAGACAACTGATATCTCAGATATTATTCTTTTTTTTTAGATAAAGTTCATTGTTGTAATATTTGAGAAAAATGTACTTTAAACGTTATATACATTTATAATAATAGTTTTCATTGAATGTAGAATAATGTTGCAATGAGGCAAGCAATATAGATCATGACTTTCTCATTATTATTAGAGTCATCTACTTAATTGTATGCTAAAAGAAAAAAACAAGATACTTTTTTTCTAATATGGTTCCGTTCATCTTCATAACGTATTTTTTAGAGTTCTTTTTCCGTAGTTTATAATAGAAAAAAAACAGTTAGTTCATTTTCATTCTGCTCGTTTAATATACTAATATGGTAAGTGGAAATTTTATATTAAAAATTTTTAGTTTTTCTTACCTGCATAATAGTTATAATCCAATCTTGAGGCATTTTTGGATGAAATGGTCGAAAACATTGATTAAAATATTGACTAAAGAAAAAATAAAATCACTATCAGATAGATATAGAGTTCTTTTACTTCAATTGTTGCATGGTCATTCCTGTTGCTTCTTGTGAAAATGCATAACGTTGATGATTTTCTTGTATTGACTAAATAGACAAGTAATATTATACATAAATTATAATTAATAAAAACTAATTTACGAAATTAGTTAAATGTGTCGCACGATCGAAATCAAATTCTCGATATAGATTAAGTGAAAGACGTATAACTGATGCATGATGATTATAAAATACAAGTAATGGTTTTGTCCATGCAACAAGCCAATGTACACGTATATCAAATTTATGACCTTTAATAAGAAGTGGTCGTGAAATATATCTATGTTGACAAGTAAAAAAAAAGATAAACTTTTGGTTAAAATATCCATATAGAAATAAACGATCATCATAGGTTACTCTTGCATTAGATGTCCTGGCATTTTGGGTTCATATTGTATACGATTACCAACAATATGTTTTACTTTAAATACTGTTTCTAAATCAGAATTCACTGATATAACATGAATTCCTTGACCAGCATAACTATAACGTGGTTTGTATATCCATGTTTTATTTTGCTCTAGAAATTAACAGAAATAGGTTGGATTATTCTCTAGCGGAAATAGAATAGATGACAAATATTACGTTCGTTTTTAGCTAAGATTAATCTTTCTTAATTTTACACAAAATTATATGTTGCAGTTAATTATATAGACCCATTATTGACTATCGAAGCGAATCTATTAAAGCTTCAAATCGGATGGGATAAGACCAACAAATTCACTCTCATGGGATTAGTGGGTTAGTCTCATTCCATCCCATGGGATAATTCCTCCTACGTAAAAATTTTTTCTAACCTTGAATTGATTGTCATGATTTTTCTATTCTATCATCTCAGTTTCTTTCTATCTGTTCCCATCGACCTCTATGGAAAGTGTAGCTGCGTTGTTCGACTTGTATCCACAAGATATTGTGTTCAAACTGCAGTTCCACCAACCATGGACAAGTCACTAACAGTTATTTGTCTCGATTCACTTCTGCTATAGCATGCTGGCTACGTTGTGATGTACATCTGCTCTTACGGTTGGTTATAGTGTATAGGGAGCTCAAAGAATTGAGCGCAAGAACTTTGTGTTAGGTCAGCCTTCTCTTGTTCAGAGCTATAGCTAGTAATAATTGCAGGAAATATATCGGATTATTGAGTCTGCTAGTAGGCAACACTTCATAGCACAAAATAGATGAAAGGCAAGAGTATTCTTTCTTTCTTTTCTTCCTTCTGTTGCCATCTAGGTTAGTTATTTTTGCATTTTAATTTTTATAGGATTCACACAAGTTCTACTTGTTTCTTCAACAACAAAATCGTGAATCTCGGGTAATCTTTGCAACGGCCTTGATTTCCCTGATTTCATGCATTCTTTTTGAAATAGTTCTGATTTACTGTAGCCTTATCAAATAATTCTGGTTTGCTAGATCTTTAATGCTGTTTCAAAAAAGTACCGAAAATAAAAAAAAATATAAGATTACTCAACAAAATGATCAGACTAGATCAATATAGAAATTCAAGCTGTCTTTGGATAAAAATTGTTTTATAGAATAAGTCACTCGCTTCAATAGAGCGATTGAGTCGACAAAAAAACAACTACCAATCTTTTGATAAATCGGTTTTCTTTAATCTGACTCATATTCAATTATTCAACATACTAAGAAAAAGGAAGCATCGAGCCTTACACATCCAATGAGCATAAATGAAGAAGATTTTGTAAATTGAATATTCAATATGTTATTTAATAATATAAAAAGAATTTGAGTCTTACTTTTATAAATGCGTAAAAACTCAGCTACTTCATCTTCATTATCAAGAACAAATGTTATAGGAAGAAATGTTTGAATATTATTTCCAACTAGATTTCGTCTAGTATTTAAATAATCTCGTATTGTATACCATAGATTAACTTTATCAGCAAATGCTATTTGACCAGGTATATTATTAATTAATTGTTTTCCTTCTTGAAATTGTTGCCAATCAACTTGATGTTCAAGACACCATTTTATTGTAAAATCAGTTACACTATGATCTTTTGTACGAGACCAACCACGTTCTTCAAGTATTTCTGTAATTCTATAAGAATAAAATAAGTAAAGAACTTGTTTCAAAAGAAGAGAAAAATTTTTATTTTTTGTTATTTTTCTTACACTCGAGCTTTATCTGTACAAGCATAAAAAATTAAGTTATCTATAGACTTTTTTCGATGAAATAATTCTGCAAGCTGTTTACTATTTGAACGAGTTGATTTTTGTTTTTGATCATTTTTTGTACCAGTTATATTACCATTGCCCATGATTGAATAACAAGTTTTTCTTTTTATTTAAAAACTATGAGCATTTATTGTTGTTATTGGAAACAGAGTTGAAAATAATTCCATTTGTTTAAGTCGATGATGTTGTTTTTTCTTAATTTAAATCGAACGGTAGCCAACCACCTGTTGTTCGATGGTATCTATGTTTGACAATAATAGTTCTTATTTACACTACACAGATGTTGTTATAAGTATTTGAATAGTATAAATGAATGTTAACCATTTCGGGTTTTTTTTTCTTTTACTTCTAGTGTGTTTTGCTGTTTGATTTGAATGAAGAAAAAGAAAGAAGAAAAAGAAGAGAAAGGTGAGCTCGATTGTTGTTATAACTGAGAATGCAATTTGACTTTTTCTTTTTTTATTCGTCTATGGTTATAAAATATACGTGCGTGTGTTTACTCAGTTTCTATAAGTATCGATGCATTACTTATTGAATGTCTAAATCGATTTTAATAATAAAAACAACATTAATGCATGATATCTTGATCGATGCATATAACAACGGATGTTTTCTAATAGCAATATTATAAAGCAAAAACAAAAAAAGAGTCTGCTGAATTGATGATTGACTTGGGATTGAAGAATAGAAAATAAGATGAAGAGAATTGAGAATAATATTTTATGTTGCTCATGATTGATAGTTTAGAGAGATTAGTAGTAATTATTTGTTAAATAGTTTTTAAAGCAATGTATGTATTTTTTTTCTTTTCTTATAAATAATAAAGTACATTCTTTTACTTAAATTGGCCATATATGATACAGTTCTTTTACTTAAATTGGCCATATATGATACAGTTCTTTTACTTAAATTGGCCATATATGATACAGAAGATAAGCATTCATTTCAAGGACGATATAATCATATAACGGTCGTTACTAATAAAACGTTATTTATCCAGTTGAAAATTTTTTGTTCTCTTGAGAAAAACATATCATTACTTGATCAACTGGTTTTTTTTTGTTTGATATATTCCCTTCGGATATTAACCAGTCGATCATATCCTTAAAACACTTTATTGAAAAGCAGTGTTATTCATAAATATGAGTGAATTGCAACTTTATAGTATGATTGGCAGAAAAACTGAAAACAGACATAAACAATTTCCGAGTAATTCATTTTATTATACTCTATGCTTGAGTTGCATAACAAGAATTTTCCAATATTTTACTGCATATTAGCCAAGATATGTCTTAGTTCAATGCAAGTGTAACGTACAGAACGTTATTTTACGTGACAATGAATTACAGTTTATTGGAGTGTTACCTTGTAAAACTACTTTTTTTAATTAGAATCAAGGTTTCTAATAGGAGTAGAGTAACTTTAGAAAATGAAATGAGTTTAATAATATAAAATATAACTCATTTTAACTCTCTATTGCTTGAAATATCACATGAAAAATGTTATTCTGCAATTTGCAGTAGTCTACTGAAACTCTATCGAGTATAATTACTTTTTAATTCAGAATCAATATTTCAGAATAAAAATAAGATAACTTTTCTCAATGAATAGAATCTCATAGCATAAAGTACTACTTATATTAGCTGACTTTTAGACGAAATAAGGCATGTGAAATTTTGTTTTACATTTCATCGCATCATGTAAATCTCTCGAGAACGGCAAGAAATTGACGGCTGAATTTTTAACTGGTAATACAAATCTAGGAACTACAGTCGAGAACAATAGAAATTATACCCTTTGCTTTTTTTTATTACTATACGTTTTTATCTATTAATGTACTATATATAGGAAGAGAGTCCAGAACTTGCTGCATCTTTTGGTATACTTACTTTGAATATCAAATGCAGTTTAAAATGTAAAAATTATATTAGAAAAAAAAGTGACATTTGTTTTTATCATGTTGTGACATTTTTTATTTCGCATATATTTCGGCTTAGATAAATGATAAAACTTTGAATTTTTTTTTAAAAAGATGCGCCGTGAAAAGCTCTACAAAAACTGTATGATTGAATTGCTTTTTACCTGTTTTGATGGTTTTTCTTATACTCAAAATGAACAACTTTTATAGCAGTGTCCCTTCCCATCATACCGAAAATGTTGGAAGACTCTTTGTTCTACATATATCTCGATTTGAGAAAATGACGAAATATTGAATTTGCTTTTAAAAAATACACCATCGGAAGCTTTACAAAACTTGTATAGACCAAATCCTATGGCAACTCAGAAAAGTTCTCGAAATATTTTCTGTATGGTAGGAAGTAATACTGTCACCAATAAGTTGTTCATTTTGAGTATAAGAAAAATTATTAGAAGAGGTAAAATAGATTCAATCATACAGTTTTTGTAGAGCTTTTCACAGTGCATCTTTTGAAAAAAAATCAAGATTTTATCATTTATCTAAGCCGAGATATGTGCGAAATAAAAAAATACTATGACCTTATGAACACCTAGTTTTGCCAAAGAAAAAAAATGTCCTTTTTCTTCTAATACACTTTTTACATTTTAAACTGCATTTGATATTCAAAGTAAATATACCAAAAGATACAGCAAGTTCTGGGCCTTCTTCCTGTATATAGCAAGTTAATAGATAAAAACGTATAGTAATAAAAAAACAAAAAAAAATCAAAGTGTATAATTTCAATTGTCCTTGACTGTATATTTAAGGTTAAAATTTGAGCGGAAAACGGATAAATTGTTCAAAAGCTGTTTGCAATGAAAGTTGCCAAAATATTGTTCTAAAAAGTGAGTAAAACTTGAAGCTTTTGAAAAAGATTGCTTTTTTCTTACAGAAAACAAAAGTTACTCAGAAGAAATGTTTTTATCAGTTTTGTTTTCCGATAAAATGACTTTTCTTTCCAAAACCTTCAAGTTTCTTCAACTTATGTACAGACGGAGAAAATTTAAGGGTGATGTACTTTTCGTCTCAAGTCATTTCGAACCTCGAACATGTGTCCGGATGTTTGGAAATGAATTTTTGTCCTTAAAGATTTATGAACAGAGTTTGTAAACATTCATGTACGGAAGATCGGAATAGGAAAGCAGGAAAATCGGAATAGTGTGATAGAGTGTTCGACAGTTTTCATTACAACCACTCTGTCTTTGTCATTACGAACTTTTGGGCTTTCTCATTCCGATCTGCAGTCAAAACTTCGTTGTTCAATCACTAACAGTGGGTTGTCAGAGTTCGTCACGAACTCCTGGACAAATTTCACTCCAAACATCCTGTTTTTTGTTACATTTCATTGACTTTTGCCAGTGAGAACTCCATTCCGAACAGCCTGTCTTTTTTCTTATGTCCGAAGATCGTAACGCACTATTTCAACCGAAGTTCGTAATGAAAAAGTGAGACGAAAAGTCACTTTTCCAAATTTAAAAAGTATCTGTCATACAGCTATGGATTTTCACAAATTATAGAAGAATTATATTGTATTTTTTTCTATAATAAATTATTACTATTTATACACGAAGATTTTGAAAACAATTTCGCAAATTTCAATCCTAGTTGAAATTCTCATGTCAACTGTATGGCATATATCTTCAGCAGTCAAAGATTCTCCATAATTTAGCTTCTCTCTGAACTATCAAAATTGACGAATCTGACCATTAGTAAAAACAAAAGTTTTTTGTTATCATTTAAACATTGCTGAAGTACTTCCTTGAGTTCAGTTTGTAAATGTACAAAATAATCATGTACAGTATTGTCTAGTTATGTCTACCGAGAATTAGCGACTGTGTGGATATCCTATGAGCATGGAACTAAAGTGATAACGGAGAATAATTATATTGAGACTTGAGTTCAACCATTATGAGAACACTGGTTCGATATTTGTTACAGTTTCTCACGAACAGCTCAAAATCATTCTTCATAAGTACAATGATCCATCGAAGTATTCTTCTCAAATGATAGCAACTTGTTACAAATTAATTGTAAGAATCCATAATGAATTTCTTAAGCATGAGCGAAACGTCGTATAATGCTTTGAATGCAATATCTTGTCTTCTATTACAAACGTATTTTTTAACATTAGCACATCTTGTTTCAAATTTTGTTCAAAGAAGTTCGAAGTAGATAAACCATCCGAGCAGCTCCTTCAGCAAGGATCAAATCGATCAAGGCAACTCGTACAAGGTTCAAAATGATCATCGTAAGTAGCTTAGAATTTTAATACATCCTCTTATCTATCCACACCGATCATAGTAACATCCTCACCCTCACTCCACAACTGACATTGATTCGAAATCCTCCCAATAGACTTCTGCAACATAAACTCAATAATGTTTGCTATCGACTATGTAAACAAGCGGGCCCTCGGGTCAATAAGCAATAAAGTCAGTGTGCACAAAAAGTTCGATGATGAAAAATATTCATCGATATGTGTTGGTCCGTTTTATTTCAGTTTTTAAAACTTTGGAATATCGATCTATGAAATTTCAACTCGAATTCTCCTATGTCTATTTACATTCTATTTTACTTCGTATGATCTTTTACTTTTATATGGTCGTATTAAGAGACAACATCGAAGCATTACTATGGATCAAATTTTTCAACAATCGTCCATGCTAACAATTATCCCAAAGATTACGATTAGGAATCAGAATGAAAACATTTCGATACTTTCTTCTTCTGAATTAATTAATATGGAAAGAACGTTGAGCATATTCAATGATGTTATAGTATACTTTTGTATTTATTTATATTTTTCTTTTAATCAAAAAATACAGTTTAAAATTGAGTGGGTGGCATATTTGTTCTCGATTGATGGCCTTTTTGTTTTTTAAATTTCAAGCAAAAGAAGAACAACAATTATATATACGAAGCAACAAATAAAACAATGGTTTATGACGATACAATAACCATGGAACAGGTAGAGATGAACCAATACAAGCCAAAATCCATGCACGAACAGTACCGCCAAATGCCAATCCTCTAATTATGGTTATAGATCCGAAGTATAGTGTATCCACCCAAATGTCAATTCACGCTAGAATGAGAACAGAAAACTATTGGAATTCTTATTAGAACAAGCCCATATTATACTACAAAGTGCATGGTCAATAGTGTGAAAGATGAGTAAAAAACTATGTTATTTTTTTTTCTAAGTGATTCAGTAAAACTCATTGAACCACCGAAGCAAAAATCGAGGCAGATTTTATTTTCTTTGGTATTTCAATGAGAAAGCAAACAGGAAGACAGGAAAAAAACAGCAGTCTTTGCATATAGAAGGAGACACAAGATGAAAAATAAGCGGTTCACACACAATAGATTTAATTACCTTTCATCTTATTCCGGTTTCTTTTCTCGTTGAAACTGGAAATCCATTGAATTATTTTTTGAATAAACGCTGAAAATAAATTTTTTCTTCAAAGAAACAATCCAAACAAAAAATAGCTGAACGATGGAGTTATCTTTCAATATCTTAAGAATGGAACTATCCACATGTTATGTAATCATATTGTGGCCATTTGATCTCCTATACTCACTTGAATGATCAGATGTCATACATTACAAACAATCTCCTTGTATTGCATAATCGTTACAATATCTTTCATACTACTCAATTCTTTTGCAAATATATAAATGCAAAATAAACTTCACACATATATTTTTCTCATAATAGTATTAGTTTCGTAATTAATTAATCGAAACGAAAAAAACCACAAGCAGATAAATAAATAAAAATCTCAAAACAATACTAAGATTCACAAAAAGCATATTTTTAACGATATCTGAAGAATGGTGAAAAAGAGAATCTTTGCAGATTTTGTAATAATAGTGTTAATTGTAGAACCGCTATCTTTTTTTCTCTATTTTCTGAAAAAACTGAAATTTTTGCTTCCATTTAGCTGAGTATATCTTCTTTATTTTATATTAAACGTGTTTAATTCTGATTAAAAACAAGATTTTTATAATCGATTTTGACAGGTAATAGTCAAAGGATACCGTCGAATAAGATTGTGTAAATCTATCAACCCCTTAGATCGTAATTTTAGTAGAATAGAAAGAGAGAACGTGAAATTCTGTAGATGTCTGTCTATTTATTTTGTTTTTTTCTGAATGCACAAAAACATTTTCATGGACTAAATAGTTTTAGGGAAATAATCACTTTTGGATGTTTCGAATAATAACTAGGGTATCCGTACTTTTTCTATTATAAATTCAATAGGAAAACTAATAGTGCAAATTGACATAGTTTTTCATGCTCTACAAATTGATATATTGATCATATTTATCGATTAGTTTATATAGGTTCAGACAGGTATGATACCATAGCTGTCTGACCCTACATAAACTAATCGATAAATATGATTACTATGTCAATTTATAGAATATGAAAAACTGCATCGATCTACACGATGATTTTTTATATTGGGTTTATAATAGAAAAAGTACGGATACCCTAGTTATTATTCGAAATATCCAAAAGTGATAGACCCTTCCTAAGACTATTGAGTTCATGAAAATTTTCTTTTTGAGTTTAGAAAAAAACAAAATAAATAGACAACAATGTACACAATTTCACGCTATATCATTCCATTCTATTCAAAGTGAGATATGAGAGGGCAATAGTTTCACGATTTTATCCGGCGGTCTCATTTATACAAAGATACTATATAAGATACTCTATTCCATCTAGTATAAAGAAATATTTATTTAAATACATGTCTGTTGATCATATATAATAATTGAAAACTACAAAATAAATCTTCTTTGTCATATTTACTATATAGAAACGAATCATTTTTAAAATGCAATAATAGAAAAGAAAACTTTACACTGAAGTATGCATTATTCGTAGACTTTGAACATAAAAAGCTTATCTTTTTGCTCTTCCAGCCAGGATAAAATACTCAAACATTTCCTATAAGAATAGGTTAGAAATATGGAAACTAATTTGGACACTGTTAAGTACATCTCAAATCTTTCAAAACTTTATTCTTCATTGTTTTTTCTTGCTAACTTATTAAATAACAGATCTTTTAATAATTAACATTTCTTTATCAGTTGTTTAGATTGTTCAGTGATATCGAATTTTTTTTTTGATTGCGTCAAATGATGACAATAGTTATTAGAAAGAAGAAAATTAATTATTCATATTCAAATCGACTTATGTTTTGTTCAATATTCGTCTAAAATTCTATGAAATAAGTAACAATAATAAAATATATTTCTTTCTTCATGTTATGTTGTTTATATGAACAATGCGAAAATTAACAATATAGATTCGTCTATCAAAATCATTTCTTCATGACTTTTAGATGCTCATTATAGAAAACAAATTACTTTATTTAGAATTCTCTGTAGAATTGATAAATTAAGATTCAAGGTCATGATGTGAAAGGTAACAGTACATTGATTAGAATGAGTAGATTGGATGTTTACATTTCAGGAAGGAAACAGACAGAAAGAACTCTTGTTTTTATTTCATGCACGGCTATAGCTAATGAGATTCTTTTTTTATTAGATATATGGTCTATGTCATTTATAATTTCAGACATTCTTAACGCAAAAGAAGATGTGTCATTATTTATTAGAGAAAAGTAGCACATTTATTATTCCCTTGATAAATATGTACGATAGAATATAATTAAAATAGAACTTTCATTTGTATTTTTTTTTCATGAGTATGACAAGTTCCTGACAGATATTTTTATTCTTTATTATCTTTAGCTTTCGTATAAAACACCATTAGACATGATCTTTGACATAAAGAAAACCTTATGAAAAATTGCATTGAATGTTTTTCGAAACCATAAACTTTTATTAATGTCAAAAAAAAGGAACATATTTTTTTTATTCTTACATAGATTCGCATATATGATATACAAACATTATTTTGATAAGTGAGTTTGCATGTGCTATTCGATTAAGTGAAATGCATAACGTCTCTCAGAAAGCTCTTCTATGGATTCATTGAATAAGTTCATTGAAGGTATTTTTACATGAGAATCACTCCGTTGAAATTTTTTATGTATTCGAGATAGATTTCATTTCTTTTTTTTTATTTAGATTAAGAGAAAATATACGAATTATATATTAAATTTAATCTAAACGATCTGCATCAGTATTGTCAGGAAACATTATGATATATTGCTGATTAGATCGTTGACAATAGTCAGAATTGCTAATATATAAGCGTGAACAGTCAGTGGGATATCCCGATTTGTTTGCTTTCTATTATCAGTTAAAAATTTAATCATGTTCGGGCCAAATTATCATCCTCATCGTCACACAATTAAATTTAGAATATTAGGTCCTGATTGCTGTCATATACGAACTTTTTCATCCCCAGAAAAAACGATAGAACACGATTTCGGGATCTGAATAATTTCATATAAGACAGCTATCAGGAGCTAATATTTTAGATTTAATTGTGTGGTAATGAGGGTGATAATTTGGCTCGAACATGATTAGATTTTTAACTAATAATAGAAAGAAAGCAAATTGGAGTATCCCACTGACTACTCACACCCATATACAGTGCTGGCCAAAATTATAAGACCAGCCTACTAGTTCGCTATTCTCTTCTTGTTGCTCTCTCTGCAAAGGATATATTCTATTGTAATTTACTCTCAAACATACATTTAGACGTGCTCTTTCAGAACATACTAAGTATATTCTGAAAGAGCACGTCTAAATGTATGTTTGAGAGTAAATTACAATAGAATATATCCTTTGCAGAGAGAGCAACAAGAAGAGAATAGCGAACTAGTAGGCTGGTCTTATAATTTTGGCCAGTACTGTATATGTGAATTTGAAATAGTTAAAAGGCTTTTTTTTCGTTTTTGAATCGAACAACAAGAAAAAATGATTTTTTTCTTCATTAAAAAATAACATGTTTTATATTTTCATGAGACTAAATCTACATATTCTTTAACTGTTCACTGAAATTGAATGACAGCTGTCTGATGATTCAATGAAGATCGTCTAGTCGTTGTGAACATATATATTTTGTTTTTGTTCCGCTATGTACTAAGAAACTTCTCACTGCTCATTTTTTTTGCAAGTATCATCAAGTAAATATGTCTATGAATATAAATTATCCATTGTAAATCAATTAATTAATAAAATCACAATTGACGATTGGCATGAAAAGCCGTCAGACGATATGTCATCGATCGGACGATCGATAGTATTTCATTATTTAGTATATATCATGGTTTTTTTGCCATAAGATACTTTTCGAACAGGATTGTGACATTGTTATTTTATATTTTGAAGAATATATATCATGCTAGTGACACTCTTGGTATGCTACATTGATAATAAGTAGTTTTATCGCTTTTATTTCTTGGTGTGATTATATTGACAACTAGCTTTCAAGGAAATGTCTCATCGGATCAAGAAAAAAAATCTTTTCATATCCTTTTCCTTTTCTCTGCCAGTAGTATGAATATAGAACACTAAATTATTATAACTTATTTCTCGTTTTATGCGAATAATGAGTAAACAATGTTGATAGAGAAGCTTTTATAAACTCTATACCAAATAATATGAAATTTTCTTCTTCGTGTTCAATTTTGTTAATTTATTCTTTTAGATTTTCTTTAGATGTTAGTTATTGCATATACTCGTATTCATAAATATTTCTTTATATTTTAGAGAAAAACTTTCATATACATACCTAGAATTATTTCTTTATTTTCTTTCAACGAACTACTTCATTTACATCAAACAAGTGGTATCACATGTCATTGTCATTTTATCTCATGGTAAGTCATTGTTAGAGCAATTGATTGCGTGATTGAATATATTGCGTGCATTCATTTTCTTGATACTATACATAGTATGGACCATTTTTTTTTAATCTGAACTATATAAAGATCTGACAAGAAGATAGAATAATAAGTACAATTTGAAAGAGAGTTAACCTTAAATCTTTTTTCTAGTAAGGTCAAATCGTAATGTCAACAACTATTTCAACAATATCATCCATATTATCAACACCACCTGTCAATTATGATACACCATCAAGTATATTTGATAATGAGACAATATGTGCAGGTAAATAAATGATATTTCTTTATAAAAAATTATATATCTTTTCTTTTCATTAGATAAATTAATTAATGAATTACTTGAAGGTCTATCTGGTCGAATTATATGGGGTATTATACAAATTATTCTTATGCTATTGGGTAATATCGGTAAGTGTATATTGTTGTTGTTAGAGATAGTTTTATGATAAAAAAAAAAATGTCATTTATTTTATAGGAAATATTCTTACATTAGTAGTTCTTAATCATCGTTTGATGCGTAGAGGTGGTGTTAATAATCTTTTACAAGGTCTTGCTATAAGTGATATAGTTGCTCCAACTCTTGCATGTATTCCACATATTATTTATTATTATGGTTCTTCAACAAATGATAATTTAATAAATTTTATTAATTTATATCTTATGCCTATAGCAACTGGTGCAACATTTTGTTCAAATTGGATTGGTAAATAATTGATTTAATTTTTGTTTAAAAAAAAGATTAGAACAATTTTTTTTTTATTTTTCAGTTGTAACAATAACAAGTTTTCGTTTAATGATTGTTGTTAAACCACTTTATTCACAAGTTTACTGTTCAAATCGTAATGAAAAAAAAGCTTTAATTATTATATCACTATTTAGTATCCTATCTATAGTACCTTATTATTATTATCGTTCTCATACAAATGCACAAAATGTTTTAAAACTTATATCAGCTATATTATCAATATTGGGACCATGGCTTATATGTGTTATTCTTTGGATATTACTTATACGAATTGTTAGTAGTAAAATTGGTTTAAAAAGATCAAAACAATTTATATTACATTCAGAAATTGTAACTCAACGTTTAAAATCAAAATCTAAAATAACTAAAATGGTATTAATTATATGTTTTTTTAATATAATATGTCAATTACCAGTTTTAATTTTAACTATTCTTGGTCTTATTAATGGTAATCCATGTGGAGATATTTCAGCAATAATTTTTGTTGGTTTACTTTTTTTATCTAACTTATTATTAATTGTTAATCATTCCATAAATATTTTTATTTATTCATTAACAAATCGTAAATTTCGTTATACATTAAAAATCATGTGTCGTCACTGTTGTCGTTTTTATAATCATCAAATAAGACAACAAAAAATGGCAATGATAATGAATTGTGATGAACAACGAAAAGCACCTGATCAACAAAAACGTAATGATGATACATGTTCAAGTTTAAAAACTCATCGTAATACACATTTATTAATAGCAATAAGTTTAAAAAATAAGTCAAAACAGAAATCAATATAAATCTAGACATGAAAATTTATGAATTTTTTTCTTTATTAAAATAAAATGCTTCATGAAAGGTCACAATACAAAGAGATCATATCATATTAACTTCATTCTGATACTTCAACTAAATGTAAAAGGATAATCTATACAATTTTTATACATTAATATAAGTAAACCCGACGGAAACACTTATAGAAACGTGATAGGATAAATAGGCAAAGGTAAAATTATATTTTTTCGTGAGCTAGGTCTTATATAAATTTTATGGAATGTTTTATGTCAATTATTGAATATTTTAAAAATATTTCTTACTACAATCAAAAAATATCATTTATATATTGGAGCAAAGTTAACATAGAATTAAAATTTTTCTAGTAGTTGTATTTGTTTGTACATATCAGCTTTGTTCTGTTTAAACATCTAATTATTTATTCGGATCATAAAATCCTCATACTGAAAAAAAAATGAAATGTGTAGATACAATATTTATTCGTAATTAAAAGTTTGTTTGAAATAATATCATCAAGTTCAAGTGGATGTAATCGAAAAAAATTTTATCTATGTTATGATTACTCAAGGAAGAAACGTTAGTGAAATCTTTTATTTTATTTTAAATATATATTTTAATAAAATATTTCAAATTATAAATAATTTGTTTTTTGTATTAGGTTTAATTGCTCTCAATAGAACTTCTTTTGAAAATAATACTCATTAATGAAGTTGTTTTCTGTCTAATTGATTCTTCTATAAATTACTAAAAATATTTTCAATCTTATATAATACCAATTCGAAAGAAAAAGACATACACCAACAAGTACTTGTAGATAGTACAAAATATATATTCTTTGGCCTTAGTCACTATGAAAAAATGGCAAAGAGTACTTGTGAATAAAATAGTTTTTATGTTTGAGAAAGATATTCATATTGAATGTGTCCTGTTTTTTAAGACAAAATTCATAACATGTAATTAGTTTCTTCTAGCTATTTATTTAGTTCATAAATGTACCATATAGTTTATTTTTCTCTTTCATTGAATCCAGTCATATCAAGGATATATTTAGAAAAAGAAATAATAAATGAAAAAAAACCCCTCGCAATAGTTTGATCAACGACATTACTGTGTTATTTATTTGAAGACGATAGAAAGAGATGAACGTTTTTATGTATATAGAAAATGGCAGACTACTTTTATTTTTATCAAGTGAATATTTTCTTTGTAATCGAATGTCGTCATTGATATAAATACTGTTTTCTGGAAGGCAGATTATCAGTCTAGTGTAATCTACAGGAAATAAATATGTTCTTATTAGGCATCTTTGCTTCCGGAAGTCTTACTAATCTTGATGAAAATAGTTTCGACGTTCAGATGACCTGTTGGTCTTTTAGTTTTTCGATTTTTTTGATGAATCCTTTTAATTGCTAGATCAACCATGAGTTAACATATTAAAATAATCTTGTTTTATCAATTTTGAAGCTCATGTACCACTAATATTCATATAATTTAGGTTATTGAAGAAAATTTGAATATGAATATATCGATTAACGTCAATAGTCTTCAATGTTTTCATGATCATTTGAATCAATGATGAGAAAAAAAGACAGTATGAGTGAAGAAATTAAAAGCAATCCATTGTCAATGAATTAAGAAGAAAAAAAAACTCGGCTACGTGATTAGAATTTACAATAGTTCATCATACAAAATTTAGATAGAATTTATAAGACTTGGATGTTTCAAAAGAATAACGTAGATGCTGAACACTTTGAGTACATGAAATCTCATTTCTTTGGACTATTTTTATTTTCGAGAACTTCCCAGCTAGTCGCCTCCAAAAAAGTTAATATCATTGTTTTTATGGAAAAATAAAAAAGACCTTACATGTTTCTGAAAAACTGGTTAAGTCTCTTGGATTTACTCATCAATGATATCATGAAAATATTCACAATCAAGCTAGGACAAATTGACGAAAAAAAAAAGTACACGTTACCATACATATAGAATCAACAGATGATAATCGAACTCAAACATTTACAAAAAGAAACGTAAACAAATGAAAAAAGTCATCGACTACAACACATTGCACTAGATAGAGACAAAGATGAAAATAAGAATGCTTCTGGTTGAAAGGCCAAGAAAAAAGAATTATAATCGATATTTGAATATAAATTCTTTTGTTATGCTTGTTTTGAATGTATTCATTCACAATTCGACATGTCGATCAGAAATTGAAATAAAATGTGAACGAAAATAATATACAGAAATTAAAAAAAAGTATCCGCTTTCTCAGATCTCAGTGAGCATTTGAGCTGAATGTTTAAAAATTCGAATGTATCAATTTCATTCAGATACCAGGGCCAATTGCAAAAAAAGAACGACAATTTTCACTCGAGCACAACCATTGTGGAAAAGTTATCGTTGTTGTTTTGCCAAAGAAAGACTGTCGATCGTTGAGAACTCAACACTTTCGTATTCAGAATAATGATAAAACAATAATATCCAATGATGATTTAGAAGACGGTAATCTACCAACCGTTCTCCAAAAGAGTATGTTGAAAGATCAAGAGCTTAATTCCAACAATGAAATAAAGATTCAATCGCTTACGAAATCACAGCCATATTGAGTTCAATGACTATCATTGCTGAGCGAATCATAAAATAAGGCCCATAAATTGGCGCACATTTGCACATTAGCTAATCCAAAAGATAAGATACAGTTTAAAAAAATAATCACAATCGATGAATAATGTCTCTCTTTTGTTTTAAGGATATTTGCTAAATGGATAACTGAACGCATTAAAGAATTCGGTGGTGAATGATAAAATGAATTATTTGAGATTTTGGAATATAAAAACATCTTACCTTTCAGGATATGAATCACAATTGTATGATAAAGTTTAAGATGTCATTTTTTTTAGAGTATCAACTATCCACTATGTTAACAGGATGTGAAGTGTGTGGGAATGGGTATGGCTCGTGCTTTCGCCCTCGCATCCACGCTAAACAATCTCTTCGTGACGAACCCTTAATACGGGGTATTTTGGCGGTATTTATGTGGCTTTGCACAATGTTGAAGTTAAGGTGGTTTCTTTCAATCGCGGTACGTGATGAATACAATAACTGTTTTGATTGAAAACGGATTCGACATAAGAAGAGATTTCCATTGTCAGCTCGAGATTTGATGTGCTGTAAAAGATGTTTGAGTCGGAAACATGAAACGCTTAACTTAAAGATATGTGTCTTCGTTGTAGAAATAAATTATACAGTGATTGAATACTTTTTATTCAACACTCTGGTTCCGCTTGCCGACGTTGATAGATCGTATGTTGAATGAGTTCAGCACCGTGACTATTTCTTTTTGTTCATTTGTCATCCGTGCTTATGGAATATTATTGACAGCAAAAATAAAATAATGTTATCTGTTAACACGGGTGCTAGGTCAATATCCTTCAAAAATAAGATGCATCTCTCTTAAAACTCATGTAAATGGATCACGCCCATCTTTCCTCTGTGTAAATAATTCGATGTGATTTTAGTTTCATTTTCTATTGTAGATTAGAGAAAATTGCATACTAGACAACTTTCGATTCCTAATAAAAAATGGCTAATCGTTTCAAATAAGATTCGATATTTGTTCGTTCATAGATCAACGTGAACCTGTTGATTTCAACTTTGTCACGGAATCGATTCGATCATTTCGAATGAAAATGATCGACTTGAACTAAAGAATTTACTTCAAAGCTTTCCCCCAAGATTCTAACCGAAGAAAAACCGCCGGTATACCATTTCGATATAATGTGCACTCTACTAGCGGTCTTTTTCGAAAGTGGTGTTTCATGGTGTATTGTATTGAAACGGGTAAATATTTTTGAAGTCTGTTAAAACCGGTAGAATTGAGTCGATTTCGATGCACTTTGATAATGTCCATGCGTCTCAGTCACCTGTACTAGCTATAGAACCTAAATCGATCCCAGTTCTGTGGTAAACGTGTTATTATAGATAGCACTACAAAAATTTTTATAAGTAAAATAAATGCTGAAATTATTTTTTTCTTGATACAGTTGAATTCTTCTTAATAATGAATTCGCATTTAAGTAGAAGATACTGCGATTTTTTATAGTTGGAACTGAAAATTGTAAACTCTACCGCCGGTAAATGGTCAGTATACTGCCGGTTCTTACAAGTATCATGGTATACCAGCGATAGTAAAAATAAATCTGTGATATGGGTTGTTATCGCTAAAATTCCACTTTTCTAGTGTTAAGTATCCCAAGCAAAAGAAAAGTACCCAGGGTACTTAAGATTTTGAAAAAGTACTGTTTTTTTTTGCACTTTACCGGAAAGAAAACAAAATACTGTAATGGTATTCTACAAAGTATAACATGCACATTGCTTATTTGTTGCAGTATCATTAAAAGTTACTCGTCTTTCTCTTGTTAATATATTCAAATTTCAGATGAAATTATACATTTTATTCTCATTCATTCTTATCAAATTGATCTTTGAAATTTCTCTTTGCCTTGTTTTAGATTTTCAACATTGTTTCGTATACTTACATACTTTCTTTATTTGTTCGTTTTGGGCGCATTAAATTAAGAATTTCAATAGAAATCAACTTCATGGTCTTACGACAAATGTATTAACATTCACGAACAAGAGCAATAATAATTACTTTCATTTTATTCTTTTTTTTATTTCTAACATACGTATGATAGTAAATAAATTCATTTCGAAAAATGTATCTTAAACCTAGCCAGACGAACATATGTACATTTTGGTTATCATAGATGTGTTATTTTTCCATATTGTTTTTTTTTTTCGCAGGAACATATGTTTCATAAGAAGATGCAAATAGGAATAAGTTTGTTTTTGTTTTTATTGATCCATTCTTTGCTATGATACTTTGAGGTACTTATTTATACTTTGTTTCAGATTTCTATTGAAATTCCTGCTTAAAATTACTTGTTATTTTCAACGATAAATAATCATAGACATATTGAAAATCTTTTCTATCAATTTTTTTTTGAAAAAATATTATTATCCATTTCAAAATAGACGAGCACTAGGTATTTTTTGAATAACTTCTGATAGAAATAAGATAGAGACCTGCAGTTTTCATCGTTGAAAAGAGGAAATGAAGGCTCATCGAATCATATATTACAGATTTTACTACCAAGTGTTTTGAGAGTTTCTATGGAATTTTTTCAAAAAAATGTGTACGTTTGGGTTCGATTGATATAGTCAATTTTTCATGAAAATGTAGCAAAAAACTGGAATTTTCGTCTAATCTTCTCGAAAAATCAGGTGGAAGGTCACAGAAAAATTCCTTTGAGTCCTGAACGTTACAAGTTAGAAATCTGAGCGTTGCACAGTTTTGTAGATCTTCGATTGGTGGTTCTGATGTACTCCTCAAAATCGAAAATTCCCTTTGGTGACTGAATGTGATACATTGGTTTGCCAAAACCTCAATTAAAAACATTTAATAAAACTTGCCGAAAACATTTGTAACATATAATTCGATGCGTCTTCATCTCTTCTTTCTAATAGTGAAAACCGCAGGTTCATATCTTCTTTCTACCGCAAGTTATTAGAAAAATATCCACTAATCTTCTATTTTGAAATGAATAATAGTCTGCTGATAAGTTTTTTATTCGTAAGAATAAAACATCACATAATTCTGAAAAGAAGTTTATAATTGATAGATCATGCAAAAATAGAATGATTAGCATTATGTTATAAAACATTAGTTTCTCCTCAATTAAAATAAAAGCGACGTTTTTGCATCATTTATTTAATTGGTCAAATGATTAACCAATGAAAAGTTCTTCACGAAGAGGTTTTTATTATGTTTATAAAGATTGGTTTATGGCCGATACAAACAAACGAAATCGAATTGTGTACACGATTTTTTCTTATTGAGTTAAAAAGAAAATGAATGATGATCTTATTCAAACAATAATAAATGATGATCGTCAACGTTTTTTACTTGATCTTGAATTTGTTCAAACATTAGCAAATCCTCAATATTTAAATTTTTTGGCTCAAAGAAATTATTTTAAAAATCAAGCATTTATTAATTATTTGAAATATTTACTTTATTTTAAAGAAGATAATTATATAAAATATATTCATTATCCTCAAGCACTTTATTTTCTTGATTTATTACAACGTGAACAATTTCGACAAGAACTTGTTAATACAGCTTATTGCCGACAAATAGAAGATCAACAATTACTTGCATGGCAACGACTTCAACGTCGAAAGAATCAACTTTTAAATAATGCTGCCGGAATAACAACAACAACAACAAATAATAATAATAACAATGAAGCAGATGCTACAAATCCACAGAATAGCACAAATGCAATATCAACATCAACAACAGCAACGAACAATACTCAACTTCGTTAAAAATAATAAATAGATGTTTTTCTATTTTTGGATATCGTTCAAACTCTTTTTTTGTCTTCAACGAAATGAACTTTCAGGATAATTGAATTCCTTGAAAAGGAATTGTATTCTGAAAAAATATATATATATATATGTATATGATCAAATATAAAAAAGAAGTGCTATTTCTCATTGAGTCGTTTAATGTATATAATATATTGTTTTCATTATTTTTGTTTTTTTACTTTATTTCAGATAAATAATCATGACGTCAATGGATGATGGAACATCAGCTTCTACTCCAACAAATGCACTTATTTTACCTAATGTTATTTATCCTGTAATTGAACAACTTGATAAATCTGGATATAAAGATATTCAAACTGATTTACGTACAACATTTTTTAAACTTGAAGAATTATATCCAGGTTTTTCTCGTAGTTTTCTTCAAACATTTATAAATAAAGAAATGCCATCTTTATCATCAACAATAAATATGAATGAATTAACACTTAAATTAGAAAAATATTGTGATAAATCATCATATTTTATATCATCATCACGTAGTGAACAAGAATTTCATGAATTAAATATTCGTTCAAAAAATCTCAAACGTATATTAAGCCGTATTCCTGATGATATTAATGAAAAACGTGAATTTCTTGAAACAATTAAAGAAATTGCAAGTGCAATTAAAAAAACACTTGATAGTGTATCAAATACATATCAATATTTTAAAACAGCTGATGGTCGACAAGCATTAGAAAATGAAAAAAAAGAATTTATTAAATATAGTAAAAATTTTAGTAATACATTAAAAGCTTATTTTCGAGACAGTAAACGTGATGATGTTTATATAGCAGCAAATCATTTACTTGTTCAAACAGATTATTTGTTACGTACTATAAAACTTTATTGTGAAACCGATACACTTGATGACTGTTTATATCCATTATTATCTCATCATCAAAATCAATCTCGTATAATCTCATCATCACGTTATTCATCGAATAGCAATCAACAATCTCATAATATAAGACAATCATCATCATCATCTGGAAATAATCGACCGACTTCATCGTATGAAACTGGTTATACTTGAAAGATAATTAGATTAGAATAAAAAAACAATATGTAAACTAAAAACATTTTTATTTCCGTCTTTATATGTACAATTGTCTTCTATTTATTATGTATGTATGAGAAAAAATGTGGGAAAAAAAGAACTTGCTAAAATTGTCTTCCATATACGTATGTACAGTAGGATTTGTTCTATTATAGAATGATTCTTGTTTATTAGAACAAGAAAATAATATTCAAATATTTGTTTATTCATTTTATTTTTTATTTTTTATTTTATTTCCCATACAAAGTCTAAATGAAATCACGCCCTCTATATATTGAACAGAAATGAAAGACAACAAAGATTTTCCACTTAATTTTTTTTTGCTTTTGAGATAGTGGTTAGAAACTAAAAGTTATAGATTAATATGACTTTTACTGCCAATGATTAATCATAGAAGTAAAAAACATAATAGATACCGTATCTTATATTGGAAAAGGAGAAGTGGAAAAAGAATATATAAAAACAAAGACATGTGCATCGAAGTATGGACGTGTGGGCACATGCAGCAACTTGCCCATAATAGTTAAATAATGCTGATATAGAGTAAAGAACGATAGAACGACGAACGACAAAGAAAAACAAAACCTGTCCTCTCTTTTTTTTTCTATTGGCAAGTACTACAGCAATAACGGACTAGCTTTTAGACTCGTCCTTTTTTTTTCTCTTCCCATTTCTCTCGTTTCTTTTCTATTAATTCGGCAGTAGCTCTTCATGATCGCAACAATAAAATATAATGCATGATCGAGTTCACTATCAGTTTTTTTTTTTTGTTCGGAAATACACGTACATATTATTAATTTGTACTAGATGACTTCATGCCAATCGAACGAACAGGTTTTTTCTTTCTCTGCTATTATGATGTCATATTCTATTAAAATTTTATTTACACAACGTCATTTTATTATCTAGAAAAGATAGACATTGACTTTAACCTGTATATCAGTCTATTTTTTTTTTCTTTTTCTTTTTGCTGATATTTAAGATTGAAATAAGAATAATAACAAGAAGAATTTATTTTAACTAATAAACCAATATGCCATCCTCATCAAATATAGATAATCGTACTTTCAAACAACGCAAAAGTTTTGGTAAATATATTATTTATTTATTTATAAGATTGTTTAATCTTTTTTTCTCTTCAAAGCAACACGCAAAGAAGAAGTTGCTGGTATTCGAAACAAATTTCCAAATAGTAAGCTTCTTATCTTTATATTGTTAATTAAAAGCTAAATCATTTTTTGTTCTGTTAGAAATTCCAGTTATTGTTGAACGATATCACAAAGAAAAAAATTTACCTATCCTTGGTAAATGAAATCAATTTTGTAGTATTATTTTTAATTTTTTTTTTTTAATTTTAGATAAAACTAAATTTTTAGTGCCACAAGAATTGACAATGTCTCAATTCGTAACAATAATTCGGTAAGTAAAAGTATTTCAATAAGAAAAAATTTTAAAAAGACTAAAACAAAAAAATTAATTAGAAATCGAATGCAACTAAACGCGAATCAAGCATTTTATTTATTGGTTAATAATAAAAGTATTGCTTCAATGTCAACGTCCATGGCAGAAATTTATCGTGATGACAAAGTAATTTTACAAACATTTCGTAATAACAAAAAAAAAAATTTTTTTTTGTTTTTTCAAGGATGACGATGGATTTCTTTATATGACTTATGCGAGTCAAGAAATGTTTGGTGGAATCTATTAATAAATAAGCAATGCTGTTTATAAATATAAATATATATATATATATATTTCTTCTTTTTCTTTTGTTGTTGTTTGTCTTTGAAATGTTTTTTCCTCTATAAAAAAAAATCACACCATCTTTTTTGCTTGTCATACTGAGAGCAACCGGTGAGCAGGAAAAGGAAGAAAAAAATCATATTATCAATGTGCAATTTAAAAATATCTTTTTTGTCATAATAGAAAAAGAAGGAGTTATCAACGTCTATGTGTATATCTTGGACTACAACTTTTTTTTTGCTCTCTTTGTTCATTGTATTACTATTATTATTATTGTGCATTTTTATTTCCTGTTATTTTTTTCTTAGTACGTGTTGTCATCTTTTTTTCTTCTTATTGATATGTATTAATCATAAATCTGTTTTATTTTATATTTTACAAAAGAGAGGAAAATATACAATCATCTATAAATGCATTGTTTGTGTTTTTCTTTTCATTTCGTTTGACAAGAAATTTCGAAGTTACAGAAGTTGATTTTTATTGAAAATGCAGATTCGACAAAAAAAAAAAAATACCACGACGAATGGTATCAGAAATTCATTGGAGTTCATTAGCATCTTAAATATTAAAATTTGATTCTTTCCCTTGAAAGATTATTTAATTACATTTTTCTATGCAATAGAAAATAACAATGTTTCTTTTGAAGGAATGATATGAAAACAAAAAACTTGACTTAGCTAAGTCATAATTGCAATGTAAACTATGTTAATTATTGTGATTTTTTGTTTGATTGGTTTTCTCGTTGAAAAATGTTTAGTTTCTGATAAGCTTGGTTAGTTTTCATCGATTTCTCTAGGTCGTTAGGAATTCGATACGTCTTTTCTCTCATTTTTTTGAGTGCTGCATCCATTCTTATAGGTAATGGATTCACTTTCAAGTTGGAAAAATGAGATCATGCTCTATTAGGGATTAAAAAACGATCTCCTAATAGTAATATGAAACTTCTTTCACGTGTAGAACGAGAATTTTTAATATTCAAACCTAATTAAAAGTATAAGAAATTAGTTTGTTCCTCATAATGTGATCGCAATATTTTGAGGTCATTTTCAATTAATTTTTCTTATCTGTAGATCTTATTTTTCGTAAACAGATATAAGAGTCATTTGCTTAAGTCGAATATGTATTTGATATAAAAATAACGTAGACTATATGCCATTGGTTTGGTTGCATAACTATTACAACAATAGTTGAAGCTTCCTAGATAGTTTATATAAGTAATAATATATGTTTTGTCATCTTTTTTAAAAAACAACAAGAAAAAAAAAAATAGCTGAACATTTTAGATTAAATTCTCGTCAAACATAATGTTTCACAAATACAATTCGTTTACGAATACACTTTCACCATCTGATCAAATTTCTGCTTATATACCACAAGTTAGAAAACTAAATTATTAATTTAAAACAAGAAGTTACTATGTTTTGTCTTTTCGTCTCCTGTAGAGTCTTGGCACTAAGGAAACAACAAATAATTTTTTTGTTGCCCCACAACCGAAAGGTCGTTTTCCAGGTGGATCCAAATCACATTCAGAAAGTACCTTAACAAGTTCTAAGAGTTCACTCGTCGGTTTCCTTGAGAATAAGAGCGGTACTACTAGTTCAGTTTCAACTGCCAAAGCTCATACAGTAGCTACAACGTCTGCTAGTCATGCAGTTGCTGGTCATGGTCATGATTCTCATGCTGCTCCATGGGAAGGTGTCAATCTTTGGCGTACACCATTCAAAGGTGATACTGATACAGTTACACATGTAAAACGTACCAAAGGAACACTTGATAAATATGTTGAAGATCGTGTCCGTCGTATCCAACAATTGCAACTCTTAGCATTAGTACATATTGTTTAAAATACTTTGAATAACAATAATCAATCATTTGAATTTTTATATTTAGCGTAACAAGACTATACCTACTTGGGTAATGATGCCACGAGACAAACTTCTTTTTGCAGCACAAGGTGTTATTGTCGCCTATGTTTTTTATCAAGTAACTACAACTGTATACAATCACTTGAAAGCTAAAGATCGTCTTAAACGTAATTAGAAATATTATGTTTTTCTATTTATTTTTTCTTTCTCATTTATTTTAGTCCTCAAATTACTCTACAAAGATAACGTCGATTAATTTGTTTTTCCCAAACTTTATCCAAAATATTGAGTCCTCTTTCTAAATTTCTCCATCTTTTAGTTTTTTTTCTCCCTCTACCAGAATGTTTATTTGTAGTTTTTCTTGTTCTTTTCTAAATAAACATCGTAGATTATATTTTTTATTCTGAATAAACTTGATTTAATTATCATAATAAACAAACAAACAAAAATATGAACCTAGTTTATTTTTTAGTTACACAAAAAAAAAGTATGCTAATGTCAATGTGGATTGTATAATGATGAACTACTATCCATTAATCTAAAGATAAAAAAAATAAGATTTTAGTTTGATGTCCTGTTTCTTTCTTTACTTCATCATATTGATTAATAAATCTTGTTTCATTTTTGGTGCTAATATTCGATCAATTGGCATCTGACAAAAATTAAACAAAGTAGATTTTTCTACTTGTGATAAATTTGTTGTATTTAATGTAATCCATTCACATAATTTAAGTATAGTTGGAAGATTTTCAGTAAGTTCTGAACTATCTAAAATAATTAATAAAATATAATTAATATATTAATGTAAAGAATAAAAGTTTACTTTGATGAACAAGACGAATAGCTATAGCTAGTACATAAAAACAAACTCGCCAATATGTTGTTGAAATGATTTATCGTGTACGAGTTGTTTCTATTTTTAAGGATGTGGGTGTCGACGAAATGAATATCAACATCCACACGCACATCCTCCTACGTGATTAAAGGAAAAACTTTGTTTGGTTAGAATAAATATGTAAGAAAAGTGAAAGTCTGAAAGCCACTGGGATAATTACCATTTCAATGGCATATTCGCGGAAGATATATGCTTTATGCGGCAAAAGACACAATGTTAGTTGAATCAGTAATTTTCAGTGGAGAGGTTGCCGCTTGACTTGTTCATCTTCTTTAAATATTTTGATGGCAAAGTTGAGTCTCCCCGCTTGTCTGTATGTCTCCTAATATGTCTTGTTGCTTTGTACTTATTCACGATCGATCAGTCTACTTAATTCTCATCGTAAAAGTGACTCAATTGGCCTTGTAAAAATTGATAGGCATTTTTTGACATAACAACATTAGTCGTAAGAAACTGGTTTCCTTATTGTGTTTGCTTCTTTAACAAATGTGCTTGTTCTGTCATTTCAAAATTGGATAAGACAAGCTTCTAGTATTTGTAATCTACGTTCCTTTCGTCTCTATTCAGAAATTTTTTTCAACTACAATATGAATCATGTCTCATTGTCATGATGATGAGAACTGGAAGTATTGGTAAATGCATACACGTAAGGCCTCCACCTCAGAAAATCCAATTTTTTGGAGACGAGTCGAAATTGAAGTTTTATCATGAGAAGATGCACCGAAGTCTCCTCTTGTAGAATATCAATGGTTTATCAAAAAAATGAATTGATTTTGACGAACTTATCGTCTAAAACTTGGCTCCTTCTGTCATATTTTATGAGAAATTTTCACGGTTTTTTTTAAGCTTTTTCGAATTTTTAGACTGCTTTCTCTTTGCATCAGTATTTCGTAAAGTTTTTTTCTATACTAATCACTAAGAGACTATGAATACTTAATATTAAAATCACAAATTTATAGCCTGTCTTGAACATTGATATATAAATCAGGTGATTTTTGGAAAAATCGATTTCTAATGCTTATTTTTCCTTTTTCTCAAAATCAGTTTTTTCGAGCATACCGTTTACGCGGGCAAGGATTTTTCAATAACGACTCAATAGATAAGGGATAATTTTTTTTTGTTGAATAGAGGACAATTAGGACTAGGTCGTAATCGAGTCCGATTTTTGAATTTCTCTTTCGCTGAAATAAAAAGCTTAGATATTTCATTTTTGTTAGCAATTTTTTTGGGCACGAATTCCTGAATTTTGAGAAAAAGGTTTTTTAAAAATCAAACAAAGGGAAATTCAAAAATCGAGCTCTATTACGACCTAGCCTTAAGGGCACTCTACAACCTGAAAACCACCCGAGCTTGTTTGCTCGTATCCTTATTGTGAAATTCTTGCCCGCGTAAAGGGTAATGAATTGACTAGAACTTGTGCATTTCTTTGAGATTTGGGGGAGATATTTTAATCATAAGCTATTCTAGTCAAGATCAACATTTCCTGAAATTTTGGTTGAAATCAGATGAAAAATAACAAAGTTCGTTTCTGAGGGGCCCCCTTAAGAAAAACAAAATGCTTGCTTCATTACTCTGCACAAAATTATTATAACTATTCATTCAACTTTTACGGCAAAAAAATCGTCACTCAGATATAGTGTGACTCAGAAGTCCATCGTGAAAAATAACCTACATACATGTAAAATACTTCAAGTTACATATTTCTTTTCGACATTATAGTATGTTCTGTTAAGTTTAATTTAATATAATTTGGTTCATCACAAATATTCAAAATGATCCCCATCATCTGAAATATATTGATCCATAATTTTCAAAATATTTAAAAAAAAATACTACAGAAAGTTTATTTTCGAGTTAATTTATTACCGTTATTAATTTTCATTTAGATTTTGATTAGATCTTGATACGTATCTTGCTAAAATCCGTTTACGCTTATATTTATTGATAAATCATTTAAATTAAACGCGGCTTACTGATGTAAAAAGAATGAATTCTCTTGATTGTTAATATTCTCTAACAGTGGTACCAAAATTTGATGACTTCAGTTCGATAATGTCAAATATTCTTGGTGAAGTTATTGAACAAGTTGTATCTTGCATGAACTTAATCGAAAGATATTCTATCGTCATTCTGTATGCTATTGTTCATGGAATAAAACAGACCGTTGTAACAACTCAAACATTTGATAGTGCCTGATTTTCACAGACATCAAGAACTATGTCGTTTTGTCATCTGTAATTTTTGAAGGTCTTTCATAACTTTGTCGGTTTGCTACTATGCTAGCTTCACAAAAGAGTTGACAAGCATTTCTAATACAGTCAAAGTCTGGCGTTTGTATACCAAGTTCGACTTACATTTTTTTACGACACCACTATAAATGACTCGCATTTGGCCATTCATGAAATTATTTGTATCTAATGTTTGTGATCACAGAAATTTATTAGAAAATATATAGGATAGAATTTTAAGGAATATACTATCATAATATTGAGAAGATATTACAAACTACTGAGCCTCATTAAAAGACATTCATTTTTTTTACGGTGGACCTTTGAGACACTCTTTATACTTCAAGTTTATGTCATGAATATCTACTCAACTACTAGACAATATTGTTGTTGTATTCTAGTAACAGCAGGCGTCGAATTCTGTAGAGCATTGACGTTTTTTCTTTAAAAATTATCTATATTGATGCTATTTGTATTTCAAGTTGTTAATTTCTTTGATTGTATTATATCAAAGTTAACAGATAATCTATGCAACAATGCACATCCGTGCACTTATAAAATGTACGAAAAAAAGTTGTTCAACAAAGTGATCCAACCGACAACGATGTTTGTTGAAGTTACTGCTTAGATGACAATGAAATCGCGAGAGTTTCAGAGAGATGTTGTTTGACTTATTTATGTTCGTTAGTAATTAATTGAGCAATCTGAGCCTTGCTTATTGCATTTAAACCTAATTGAAATATTATTTGATTGATCTTCGCACCTGAGAGTTGAAAAGCGTGATGCTGATCATCATCGTCTTTCCCGTCATGTTCGAGTTTCGATTATGAGTTCTTATAATCACGGGACTTGTAGTTTTGAGTATCACGATGATCGTAATGATTGAATCAATATTGAATAATGCCAAAGGTTTAATATTGCAATGATCAGTCTTCTTTTTTTTCTGCTCTTGGTTCAATACCATGCATATATCAGTCTTAACTAATCATTTTTGTTTTTTTTTCTTCAAAAACAACACAGTGACATATCATTGTCGACTTTCATCTCTCTCCTGCCATCTGCATTTTCCACAGAGACTGTCACCACACTCAACCGTTACGGGAAAAAAGCCGAAGACCAAAGGGACATAGTATCTTCACTGAGCATGTGTGCAGAAGTAATTGATACGTATTTTAGTTACAGTCATTTTTATGTAGAGCTAAGTTTTCCGAAATTATCGATTTGTGCTATTTCATGAGCACTGAGTTCGAGGACATAGTGAAACATCATACTAATGGAGTATCAATTGTAACGATATTCTTGTCTTGAAAACATCAGAAAGCGTTCTCTTAGGTGAGATGTAACAGATAGGCATTCAGGTTATTTTGAGTTTGTTTCCAAAGTAAGAAAAAAAAATAGAAAATATGATGCCTGTTCATTGCTATTTTGTTTGATCCGGAGTGCATGAGTTGACTCTTTTTCTATTTATGCTATGCTTTCCATATTTTTATTATCAATAGCTAAATTTTCTATAGTATTACTGTATGACTGGCGCACCGTGGGCTGACCACATGATGTCAACTGTTTTCGAATCGTACCTTAATAGGGAAATGGAATGGAAGAAACTTTCAATTTTAGTAGTGACTTAAGAAATCACGATGGGAAACAATTAGCACTGGAGAAAAAGGAATTCAGTGTTTCAGTGTACGCCAAGCGTAAGTGTTATTATTGAGTTTTGAGTTTCAATGTTTAGTTAAATCATTCGTGACCATATAGATGAGATTGATTAGTCAATCTTCATATTTCTCTACGTATGGCACACTTGTCGAGTTCTTCATTAGTTTCACACTCTAATGAGATACTTTTTAACAATGGTGAAAATCAGATCATCCAAGGATGCAAACACGTTCTCAACAAAGTGCATGTCTCTTCTTGTTTTGTTCATGAAACTCTTGATATAAAAGTGAGGAGGTTTAGAACATGAATCCATACTTTTCTCGACTGTAAACGATTTATCAATGAAGTGGTCAGTCTTCAACGAAACTTGCCGAATACTATATATATGTTTCAAAGAAACTAGAATGTTCCCCCTATACACGATCGATCATATACAGCTGAATTCCTGAGAAATCGAAAAGATAAATCTATACTTCATACGCATGCATCTGATAATTTTTAGTAAATGCATTCGCTAGTATTTTCACAATTTCGACACAATCGTTCAGTAGCAAAAACGATGATGTGTAAAGTAACGTCAACCGAATGTGAATACTTTGTTAGAAACAAATTCGTTCCCACAAATTCTCTAGAGTGTTCTCAACTTACTCCTTCGACAAAAACTGAAGTCACACAATCTAAAGGTTCCATGTTAGAAATTCACTTTATAATTCTTTCTTCAAAAAAGGGCATTCTATAAAAAAAGTACCACTCTGAGAAATATCCGCATACAATCCTCTGAAAGCGAAATAACGTGTTATCACCACAACACTTTCAGCATGTCGTTGCTCTTCAGAAATTCCATCGTGCCGTCTCTTCCTTGTTGTCCGATTCGGTTGTACTTAAGACTGAGTATAGTGAGTGTCTGTGTGAAAAGTCGAGATGGCGAAGAGCCTAATGAGTAGAAAATGATGTTTTACCGTATTTTTGGTCAGACCATTGGCAATATGTTGTGCTCCTTCGTCTCGGATTTTGTTTCGTTCAAGGTTGAGTGTGATGAGTGTCTGTGTGAAAAATCGAGATATTAAAGAACGAGATAAGTAGAAAATATTGTTTTACCCTGTTGTTGATGAGAGCATTGGCGAGACTTTGTGCTCCATTGTCTCCGATTTCATTATCTCCAAGGTCGAGTGTAGTAAGTATCTGTATCAAAAGTCAAAATATCAAAGAATTGAATGAGTAGACAATGATATTTTACCATGTTGTCGATGAGAGCATTGGAAAGATGTTGTGCACCATCGGCTCCGATTTTATTCTCCGCGAGATTAAGAGTGGTGAGTGTCTGTGTAAAAACTAGAGATAGTAAATAGAAAAATTAGTAGTAAATGATGTTTTACCATGTTGTTAGTGAGAGCATCGGCCAGATGCTGTGCTCCATTGTCTCCGATTTGATTACATCTAAGGTTGAGAGTGGTGAGTGCCTGTGTGAAAAATCGAGATAATAAAGAATGAGATAAATCGAAAATGCTGTTTTACTATGTTGTTAGTGAGAGCATTGGCGAGATCTTGTGCCCCGTTGCTACCGATTTCATTATCTCCAAGATCGAGTGTAGTAAGTGTCTATATAAAAAATCGATATATCGAATAGCTGGATGGATAGAGAATGATGTTTTACAGTGTTGTTGGTGAGAGCATTGGCAAGATATTGTGCCCCTGTGTCTCTGATTTGATTCCACTCGAGGACGAGTGTAGTAAGTGCCTGTATGAAAAGTAGAGATAGTACAGAGAAAAATGAGTAGAGAACGATGATGTTTTACCGTATTGCTGGTGAGAGCATTGGCAAGATGTTGTGCACCGTCGGCTCCAATTTCATTACATCTAAGGTTGAGTGTAGTGAGTCTCTGTGTAAACAGTGAAGATAGTAACGAGGAAAATAAGTAGAGAATAGTGTTTCACTGTGTTGTTGGTAAGAACATTGGCAAGATGATGTGCCCCATTGTTTCCGATTCGATTACATCTAAGGTTGAGCGTGGTGATTGTCTATGCGAAAATTCGAGATAATAAAGAGCTGGATGAATAGAAAACAGTGTGTTACCATGTTCTTGGTAAGAGCATTGGTAAGATGTCGTGTGCCTTCGTCTCCTACTTGATTCCACTCAAGGTAGAGTGTGGTGAGTGTCTATGTGAAAAGTAGAGATAGTAAAGAGGAACATGAGTAGGAAGAGGTGTTTTACCGTGTTGTTTGTGAGAGCATTGGCGAGATGCTGTGTCCCTTCACCTCCGATTCCATTATCCCAAAGGTCGAGTGTGGTGAGTGTCTGTGTAGAAAGTGAAAATTGTAAACAAGCAGATGAGTAGCACATGATGTTTTACTGTATTGTTGGTGAGAGCATTGGCAAGATGTTGTGCTCCATCGTCTCCGATTTCATTCTTCCCAAGGTTGAGTGTGGTAAGTGTCTGTGTGAAAGCCCAAGACCATGAAGAGTGGGACGAGGAGAGAATTTCGTATCACTGTAGCATACGGAAGAAGGTTGGTGAGCGGCGATATCTTGAATGTGTTAGGTTCGGGAAGAATAAAATATGATGGGATTTGCCCTCATGTCGAAAAATGCATGATGGTTGGAGAAAGGCGATCGCAAAATAAACTTAAGTGGAATGCTCTAAGGAAAGTAGCCAGAAGTGAATAGAATGGGATGAAGACGTAGGAGGAGTGTGCTTTATCACGTTATGCGCCCTCAATGCTTTGTATATCCTCTTTTTTTCTTTTTTGTGTGCAGTGCTTATGATGTTTCGTAGAATGTGGCATGATAATAGAGAGAGATATTCAGAAGAAGACAGTGTTGTGGTGATCAAACTTTATGTTTTCTTAGATTAAGTGTATTGGAGAATGAGAATCTTTGTGGAAGAATATTCCTGATGATATAATCGGATGAACTATAAGTAAATGAAGCTGATTCAAACGTAATTGTTGAAATCGGATCAGTAACATGAAAGTACTGATGTATTCGTTAGAACTCAAAATCGATTTCGTTACTAGCTGTTGTTTTTGGCATCTGTCTTATTTGTATCGTGAAATATATTCAATGAAATCTCTTGTAGATATCATCATCACGATTGGAAAAATGCTTTTACGAATGAGTCAAGTGTGAAGCTTCACGATATTCCGTTGTTTATTTTGTCTTGAAATTATTTTTGCGATTTCCAACGATTCGCCTTAATCTTATCGAGCGCGTTTCTCAGATTATTCGTGAAGATCATGGCGAGTAAGTACGGACCAGGATGGAAGGTCGCAGGGCAAATGAATGCAAACGCTTGGGTAAGATTGATATCAAATCTGACGAAGATCCAGATAGATTACTTTATCAGCTTGTGAACTTTTATTAAGAAATGTGCAAAATTCTCGACTTGGAGAACTCGTACTGATTACGTTAATGCTAGTCAAATACGAAAAAAATCAAGAAGGACTTCACCAAAGTAGTATGAAATAGTTCAAGCGAAGTAGTCTGGTGTGATCACTGATCGATTGTCTCAGAAAGCAGAAAACTTTCGTTCATGATTTTTCATGTAAATGGAATGCTGGTAGAATTTGTAAATTAAACAGACATCTTTTTGCCTTGTTTAATGTTTGTTTTACTTTCACAAGTCGAATTTTACTATGATAGTGTTTATCTGAGGGTCTTTGTTTACAATCACAGGTCCATGTATACTAGGTTGAGTAATCATGCCATCTAATAATGGAGTAGATGCTGTGCATTCACTCACGTAAACATCAAATGCAAAATAGAATTGCTTCGACATAAAACCTATGTACATCGGTAGTAGAGAGATTCATTAAATCACTTGAAATCTCATACAAAATGTCATATTCATTATTGTTCATACCTTGCGTTCGCTTAAATTAGGAAATTCCTTTTCATGTAAGAAGAATTACGAACTAGAAAATTTAAACCTTAACCGATTGTTTCATCAATCAAATAAATCACTTCCGTTCTCTTAAATAAATCTTTATTCAGAAAACTCTGTTTTTTGAAAAGTTACATTTCATTCACTTTATCTAAAGATTATTATAGATGTCTGAGTAAAATTGCATCAAAGCAACTTCCTATTCATGCTCTTTGGCTCTAAGAGCCTACTGATATTCATTGGATAATTTTATAACTATTATGATTTCAGAATGTTCTTAGAGTTTCTAAAGTCCTGACTATTCTTACATTTTCTTAGGTTCTGAAACTTCTTAGAATTATGTTTATTTTCCTGGGATGAATTCGTTTCTCTAATGAATGTTTAGGCTTCATAAATTCAAGAAGAGTGCAAATCATGAAATTCAACTACGCTTCTCCTATGATCTTCAATTCAATTCATCTGGAGGTCCTTTGTTATTAATATTGCAGGAAAATAAAACTGCGATGAGAAAAGGTTCGGTGCATCTTAAAAATATATTAACTTTGTTTTCTGTTTAGTAAAATATTGCAGAAAAAAAAGAAACTTAAGAAAATCGTAGGAAATAGCTTGAATAATACCATTGATTCTTTTCTTTAGGGTAACATACATCAAGGTCAAAATATGACCCTCGAATTTTTACTATCCTAAAATCAACAAGTAAAATAATCATTTGTTGAACCGAGTAATATCTTAAAGATAATAGAAACCTAACTCCATGATCCAGGTGGAATTTACCTGATATCGATAGTACGTGTCAGTGATCGCATTCAGTCGTGTACACACATTACGAGTTGAACATAAAATTGTTAACTCATCAAGACCGTCCAGAATACGATAGACGAGTTCAACGGGTAATGTCAGAAAAGATGAAGGAACTTTATCAGGCATAACTGTTGGTTTCTTTCAAATAGTATGTTTTGTTAAAATAAATGTTTGTTACAATTTATATTTCTTTATCGTTATGTGTTTATTGACAATGTGTTATCAACTACATTATGCTTGTGTAGTTTTTTTCTTATACAAGAGAACTCAAATAAGTGTAATGTGAAGAAAGCAATCACAAAGCAGATTTGCACAAGAGACTATAAATATATCATGTTTTCACCTGAGTTTTATACGAAACATTGAAGTATGTATAACAAATCATTTCCAAGAGTTTACATTCTTCTTGAGTAAATTCGAGACCTACTTCAAGTACTCTTATCCTATCTTTCGTTTTGGCTTTTAGAATAAAAACAAAGAGAAAAAGAGAAGTACAAGTTATGTAGTATAAGATAACAAATAGACAAAACAGAGGAATAAAAACGTTGTTAAAATGTCAACATTGTGACTTTATTATTACAATTTGAGATAAATATTATACATGTTAACATAATGAAAGGCTAAAATAGTCATTTTTGCATGCACAATTATTTAACACGGAATCAGTCTTCGAATAATAAAGAGATTAGACAACAATAATATTATACTTACTTTTTTTTCATTGGCAATACAGAAGATTTTCAACGAACAATATTGATTCTTTATTCATCATAATGTATAATTTATTTTAAACAATTTTCGTCAAACAAGAATAGTGTTGAGTAAAAAACTGTAAACGAAATTCCAAGAAAATAACATTCGAAGAGAAATTATTTTGCACATGTTTCACATACAAATGTAAAGGACGCAGAACGTTTTGAGGCCATTTTCAGCTCAACTATGAAGCAAAGATAGTTTGACATGAAACTATCGACGATTGTAGAGCCAAAAGCTACTAGTCACTTTTGTAAGTTTCAGTTTGATCAGTCACATTTTTGACTTATTTTGGTATTCGGACAAACACGCTCTTTTGGGACTTTTAAGGATAAAAGAATAGTTCATTTTCAAAAGAGTATTCTGAACGAGAATGTGTAAATGTCTCTAAGAAGAAATCAAAAATTGATTACAAAAAGTTTAGGACGCCGTCAGTCTGATGTCATGTCTATGTTATGCGGGAATATTGTCTATCTTCGATCTCCAATGTTCGATTCAGAATCGGAACCATTTTCTCAGCATCAACAGCAATCATCGCTCACAATGGAAGGAATTGTACTGATAAGCAAATTGGTTGGCGCTAACGTTCTCAAACGATCGCTCTCACCGAGAAACTAACAAATTTAAAATATTAGCTGCTTCTGACGCATCGGAACAGAAATACCGAGTGTGGGTGTGGATATGAGTGTTGGTCTCTTCCTCATCCACACCCTCACCTCTTCTAGCTTGTGCTCGGTGCAAAAGACACCTTTGCTATTATCATTTGATCGAAGATCTTTGTCTCCGTTTGTAACACATCTTTTG